CAGAGAAAGGATTCGGCGCCTGGAAGTGCCTCTCTCTGTCAGATCCACACCCACAACCTAACCCATGGCACACCAGTCACATTGTGTGCAACATTAGGGTTTGGGCGGACACTGCTTGTTGATGACCCAAGCTGCAATTGAAATCTAATTCAATTCAAAAGTGACTGAATATAAGCCCCTGTTCAAACAATATCAAAGCCTGCTTATTCTTATTCTCATTCCATTCCTATCTTGAGGAAGAGAGTCAGTGGTTGCTTGTTGGGAATCAAGAAAATGGGGTCATTCATCATTGATGACCCCTATTGAGCCAAGAAAAAGCTTCTCAGACATTTCCTACCACAAAGAGATCCCATTCCCCTTGTCAGGGTACCAGTAACCCATATTTGTGGTGCGGGGGTGGTATTGTAAGTGGTGAATCTCAAATCAGTAAATTAATCTAAAACCCCCATTTCTCAAACTCTTTTATTTGAGAGTTCAAACGGAAATGGGAGAGTCATTCTTGATAGGATGTATGAAATGCTTTGAAGCATTTGCTGACAGCTTACAATGACTCTAGGTTCACAGAAAACACTATGTAGTTAAATCCCAAAGCTGACAGATTCAAACCATCTGAATGTATCTACTTGTGGTTGAGGTTTTATAATAATAACCCCAGTTTTGGTATCTCATATGTTGAATGCATACTTCTTTTATGCTCTCTCACATCTGTAGGGAGGGAGGGAGGTTTTTTGAAAAATCAATATTTGATAAATCAGAGAATAAAAGTTATCTTATACAATAAATTGAGTGTATTTAATTGTGACAGTAGCTAAGATGTTTTATTGTAAATGCAAATTCTATCAATGAATTACAGGAAAAACATGAATGACATAAATGTAAAGTGGATAACAGATGAAGGGGAAGAGACAACCCTTCGTCTGTCTTGTGTCCTATTTATCAACTACAAATAATATCTATTAATACATATGGAAAACTGGTCCTTATCAAGATAGGGAACCCTGACTGGCTCAGCCTCAATTAAAAAATTTGAAGGACTGGTCTAGGTTGCCCTGGTGGTCAAATTATTTTGATTATGTTTTCTACATCACCAGATGGTAGAGGAGTTTTCATCACGCTAATCTTGTCACTATTCCTTGTAAAAGTGGACAACACCTACCTCCATCATGCCTTCTACAGAAAGCTACTATCCAAGGTGCTCAGACCCTTTCCCAACCATGAACGTGCTTGAAAACCCAAAAAAAAACCTGCATACATTTTCAGATTCCCACCACATTGAAGTTGCACTTGTTCATCATTCATTCAATAAAATTACAAAGGATGCCACCAAAACAACGCCCTTGCCAATCTCCAGCTTCCCCTTCCACCCCAATCATTGTCTCAGAGTCAGATTCTGAAGAGTAATCACAATCCAACTCTTCTGGTACCCAGCTTGTGAAATCTACAAGCACATCAACCACAGTCAAAATTCCAAGAATCAAAATTTGTGGATTAGGAAATAATTCAAGGCTGAAAGTGTTCAAGGCATGATTGAATAATAAACCATTCAAAAGGTAATTTGTGTGTACAAAACCTTTGAACATATCTTGCTACATTGGATGATTGTGATACTTGTTTATTTTCCCTTCCTTTGTCATTCAATCTTTTAATTTTTCATCTCCTTTATCTTGTTGCATCTTTCAGATTCCCAAGCTGTGTTGTGATTCTCTGACATATCAACTTGTCAAATTGATTGCCAACTGAAAAATACCAACCACCATTGTTGATTGTGAAGAATTCAAAGATCTCCTCAAGGTCTGCAATCCAGAAATCACTTCTTTCCTGGTTTGGATGGTGTGATGGAGAGTGTTAAAACTCAATTTTGTGTGTGTTGTACCCTTCTCAAGGATGTATTGGATAAATCTTTTGCTATCAATATCACCTATGAAAAGTGGTCATCATCAAATAATGCTCCAATACTTGGAATGACCACTCACTGGATCAACACAAAATTCAAAATGCAAAAGGTATCTTACCTATGCAGGAGATTGAAGGAGAAAATATGGATGTCAACCTTGCAAAATACTTTATTGAGTGTCTTCTAAAGACCAACATCAATCAGAAAATTTGTTGTCTCACCACCGGAAATGCATGAACCAATGGAGCAATGGCATAAGATATAGCAAATGAAATCAAAGATTTCCAAAAAGATACAAACTTACTTAGATGTATTGCTTTGGCTGGGTTGGCTGTATTTTAAAAGAAATCAGGCAGAACTACTACTTCTGTCAACATATCTTATATCCTTGAAGATGATTCATCTGATCAAATTAATGCTCCAGAGGCCCTTAGTTGTTGCATGAGCTTCATCACAGCAATCATGAAGACACCAAACCACAAGAAAATTGTTTGAAAAGCTTGTTACATTCAAACTTGGTTGCTGTCTTGGGCTTATCCAAAATATCAAAACTCAATGGAACTCTGATCTCAACACCCTCAAGACAGCTCTGGGACATAAGAATGTCATTGATTTGAAATGTTCAAAGGACTCACAAATGGTCAAGTCTTCACTCCTGCCAAGTGGGAATTGACCACCCACCTTATTCAATTCCTTGAACCCTTTGAAAAAGCCACCAATATGCTTCCTCAGTCAACTTACACAAGCCTTGATGCTGTCTTACCTGTATATGAGTGGCTCAAGTTTCTACTTGACAAGGTAAGTTATATTGCATTCACCATCTTTTGCATTCTAATCAATCTATGCTAATTAGGATGTTTCTCCTAGGCTTTAACTTTGTTGTGAATTATCCAATTTGAAGGAAAAGCTTGCTGAGTATTTCAACAAAGCCATTCTCAAATCAGTCTATCTTTGCCCACATCTACTGGACCCTTCCAGCAAGGATCAAGAGCTTTCATACAACACTCGTCTACAGGCAGGCATTGTGGATCAAGCGGATTGGTAAGACATCTTTTTGAAAGAAGCTGGCCAATTCATTCACAACAGTGAGGAAGTTGATGATACCCCCAATGTGGATCCAATCACCAAGCCTGATGGAGATGGACCTTGATAGTTCATATCAAGACCTAAAAAGTGGTCATCAGATACAGAACTTCTTGCTTACCTTGCCAAACCCCAAGAGCCATGTGATTGTGACCCTCTAGTTTATTGGAATAAACATGCAAAGAAATATCTGTTGATATCAAAGTTGTCTCATATATTCCTCTCAGTTACAGCCTGCAGCACACCTTCCAAACAGGCCTTCTCAGCTGGAGGATGTGTTCTCACTAAACATCACCACAGTCTCAAATCAGATACCTTTGAAGCTCTGGTATATCTCATGAAGACTTGGAATAAGGTGTTATATGGTGACTTTATTTCTTTCTTTCATTTTTTTCTTTTCTATCCCTTTCTGGAGTTATTAGAGCATCCACGGTGGTGGGCTCCAAATCGGGGCTATTGCCAAATTTGGTGACTGAGCCCCAATTTTTTGGTGCAATGGCGGTCCCCATTGCCAGATTTTTTTGTAGCCGGCTTCAAATTTTGAGCTTTGGGCTACAAATTTGGCAGCAAAAAGCCGGGCTCCAAATTCCCGCACTTGCTCAATCCCATACCTCACACATGTAACTTAAGAAATTAAGATGCTTTTGGTGAAGTTTGAGACCCTTTGCACCAACATTTGCTCCCCTACCATGTGAGCGGGCCGTGACCCGGCCGACCCGGCCATGGTCTCTGTCCCGTTATCGGAGCGGGTCAGAGGACGACCCGGCACCAAGTCGTGCCTTGGTTGCTGCTCACAGTCCAGAAAATTTTGCTGTTGTTCTCAGTTTCTTTGTCGGACTGCCACTCTTCTCTCTCAATATTTCGCTTATCCTGCCACGTTGAGCAGCATGAAAGAAATCGATCACAATCACTGACCGACAAGGCCGTTCGGGATCAAGAAGCTGCACCTCGTTCTTTGTTCCGCAAAAGCGCTCGCTTTGGTTGGTCTGACTTTGAACATCAAGTGCCAAAAGGACCCATCTTCTCGAATGAAAAACTTTGGGAAAATTTCAATTTGATGTATGTTGATGTGCATACATACACAGACTGTGACACCTCCTAGCCAGTATACTCAGGGGTCATTAACAAACGAAAGATCTGATTTCCCAATCAGAAAATCGTGAAATCTTGTGGGTTTTTGACCCTTTCATTTTGGGCAATATGCCAATAGGAGCGGTCACCTTGAAGCTTCGTGCTTAAAGGGTTTTTAGAAACGGTGCTGCCCAACAGTACATCATACTTGATGATATGATGAGTTCTATGTGCCAAATTTGGTTGCTTGAATTAGGATAGACTGATCAGGAGGTCCTCGAAGATGCTTGAAATAGTAGGGGTATGATTGTGAATATTAAAAGATGACACTGGCGTTTTATTAATCTACGGGATAACGCTCGTTATGATGCTCAGCCTTGATCGGATTGTCATGAACGGGAAGCCTGATTTCAAATAAAACTCCTACTGATGATCAACGTCCAAAACAAAGAGGTTGACAAGCTTTCTTAGGCTTAGCTTACTCAATCGTTGTGTCAAGCCCACACACGACTTTCCCTAATGTTCGCCTGTACTTCGAGTCTTAGCTGGAGTAAACTGGCCTTCATATATTCAACTTAGAATCGATCATCGTATCAACCTCCCCGTTTTTGAGATCCACCAGCGCAAAAGTGCTGGATCAGGTTATGTAGTGCAATAGTCCGTAGGCGCCCCTCCGCTTGACGATCGATCAAGGTATGAGGGTGGAAAGTTGGTGGATACACTTGCAGGCATTCCAGCTAGCCAAGCAACTCGCTCCTTGAGAGTAATCCTCCTGTCCTTTCACTCTGGGTTGTTTTGTGACAATATAAATATAAGAACAAAATGACACGGAAAGAGAACAATCATCAGTCAAATCAACTGCAATTCCTACCCATAGCATCTTACTTCAAGTCAAACTTTTTTGATCTCAACATTAATAAAAAAATTAAACTCTCACACATATTTCTTCAATATGAGTCACACCGTCGTCAACACTGTGCTCAACTCCACGAGGGCCGCCGGTCTTGCTACTGGCGCTGCTGTAAGTAGTCATTATTTGGCTGCAAATTTGTTTTATGACCCCTTGCCACACCTCGCTGTTGATGCTCCACCAGTTCATAAAGTATTTGTGGAGAGCTGAAGACAACTCCCACTTTCTCACTCCCAATCTTTAGGCCTACGCGAAAGCCGCCCGAAGGTACAATTTTGAAACCAAGACCTTCGTTGCAACCAAGGGCTTAGTCTTGGCCATCAAGGAGGACGGAACAAAGCATCAAGTACCTGCGGAAAGCTTACAGGTCAGTGACATTTTTTTTCGAGGAAGAGAACGAATCACAGAATTTGATAGACTTCTCGCTTCTCAGAACGATCTTGAATATGTCGTTCCTGTGACAATCGGTACACCGGGTGTCCAGGTGATGTTAGACTTTGACACGGGATCCTCAGACATGTGGGTTTGGTCCAGTGGTAAGTCTCTATCACATATATTACAGCAAAGGCGACCAAGACTAATCCTCGATTCATGTTTCATCATAGACTTGAAGGCCGCGCAGCCCACCGCATCGGGCCACAACGTCTATGACCCAGCCAAATCTAGCACTTCCAAAAAGATTGAAGGGAGCTCCTGGCGTATCTCCTACGGGGATGGATCCTCAGCTAGTGGTGTTGTTTACCAAGATGGTGAGGATTTCGAGTCTTCGTCTGTAGGGACGATCATCATTCCTCATCGTGTTTGCTCGTCATGCTTCAACAGATGTCAAGATAGGTGACCTCACATGCGCAAAGCAAGGCGTGGAGGTGGCAACCCGGCTTTCGTCCTCTTTCCTTAACAGTCAAGGATCTGACGGCCTTCTCGGTCTTGCCTGGCCCAAGATCAACACGGCCAAGCCTCGACAAAAGACGCCCATGCAAAACTTGATGGAGAATAACATCACCGAGAAAGGGGTCTTTACATGCTGTCTTCGCCACGACAAAGACGGAAAAGGCTTTTACTCATTTGGAACTGTACTTGCAAAGGAAGCTGGTGTAGAAGAGGAGAAGATCGAGTATACTCCTATCGATAATTCACAAGGTTTTTGGGCGTTCCCGTCTGAAAAAGCAATTATCGGGGATCAGACTGTGGAACTCAAGTCCAACTCGGCCATTGCCGACACCGGTACTACTCTTGCACTCGTCTCAGATGACGTAGTGACAGCCCTCTACAAGGCGATTCCTGGCGCAAAGCTTGACAATAATCAGGGTGGGTATGTTTATCCTGTTGGAGCAAAGGTACCAGACATTCAACTTGCTGTTGGAGACAAGATGTATACCATCTATGGAAAAGACTTGGCCTATGGAGCTCCTGAGAAAGGCATGGTCTTCGGAGGTATACAATCCCGCGGAAGCAACCCATTCGATATCCGTAAGTCGAAGAGCCCCCTTATTGGCTGACCTTAAGATTATTTCAGAGCTGCATACTAACTTGGTATTTATCCTTCTACATGCTAATTCAACACGGACGTAACGTTTAACCAGTGGGAGACATCTTCTTGAAATGTGTTTATGTAGTTTTTGATCAAAAGAATGTTCAAATCGGCATGGCCCAAAGACCGGGTACCACTTCCGGGTAAGCAAATTCATCATGTCTGGGTTCAGCTTCGATGAGAACCGGATCCAAAGCTTCTTTCATTCCCTAACGCTTGGAACTGATGTAATCTACCACTTGTCCCTTTTCTTACTTTTTGATCAGCAGAGCTGAATCAGGGGGTGACCAACCGGATGGTCAATCGGGCGGTGAAGGCAGTGGATGTGGTCTTGGCTGCAAGGTTCTCTAATTTTGAGGCGCGAAAGCCACAAAGTAGAACACGCACGCCTGAGAGCAATGTAATATTTCCATCTTTTCATACACGCACCAATGTTGTAGTCCTCATATCTCCACTACGTTACTCAGAGTTATACCACTGTATATAGAATATGATGGTCATTTGAATCGCAATCAAATCGATTCTGCATCTCTTTTCGGTTGTGGTACTAGCTTCATAGCAGCTTCAAGGGATCCCTGTCTCGTTGTCGAGCTCTTGTCACGAGTCCTTGAACTCAAGCTGCGATTTTTGGAAGAAACTGCCGACTCCTGTGATCAAAAGAGACAGTCGATTTTTTTCACTCTGATATCTTGTTAAAAGAGCTCGGTATGACTTGGAGGAATCTCAACTTTACTCTTTAGAGGGACTCATCTTGTCATCCGCCAAAGTTGACAGCGGTATCACTTCATACGATTGTTTCGCACAACTCCCAAGCTATGGTTGGTGACTAGCTTTGAGTTTTTGATAAAGAAGAATGAAACCGATCATTGGGCATGTCGTCTTCTAGCGCAATGAAACTGGAAGAATATGACCTCAATATATTTGTCGAAATCGCATATGATCAAAACATTGTGAGATACCCGGGCCCAGATCATGTATTTGAATATTTTCGATTCTATTGTAAGATTTTTGTTTCATTATGTGATCATTCATGGTTGGCTTTATCTACTTCTTCCATTCTGGGTGGAGTTAGCTTAGTATTGGCACACTGTGTATGTCAATCCTAGGTCTATACGGGAGGGACGCCGCAGGCGGCTCGCCTGAAACTTCAAACACCATCTGCTTCAAAGCTTTAGGTTTCTCTTTCAAGCTGATTTATTGACATACTTATAGTTCTGTGAATGAATCAGTGGTATGTTTCATGTCATCCTTTCCAGTTTCTTGTCTCTCTTATCAGGATGTGCTACGTGTTTATTATTTTTGTATGAAAGGAATGATCCATCCGTTTTGGAGCTTTAGTTTCCATTAAAAGGCAAGATATTTATATCCTTGATACTACTATTTCTCCAACCCTTTGCTTCCTCATCTTTGGATGGAACAGCCGTTGAGCTCCAGGTCTTGATTGACGACATCTTATGCTATGTTCGAAAATGGTGTTTTGCCATTTCTCTCCTGTCTTAGGTCTCTAGTGTGTTTCTTTCCGCAACTCTCACTTTATTTTCTCCCTAATAAGTTTGTTTGTTATCCATACCAAGTAATACGCGATGAAAATTAGTCATCATCTTTGCCCAGTATGTGATATGAAGGTCAATTGTGCTAGAACTTGTCTTCATTATTGTCAATTGTTGGACACGGTTTCAAAACTTGCTAGGACATCCTCATTCAGAAGCCTTTCATCAACAGCACACTAGACATTAGAGAATTGGCAGTTCTATCACATGAGAAAGTCCATCTCGTACACTTCCCGAGACGGGTTGTTTATGTGGTCTTTTGGCTTTTATCTTTCTTTGCCTATATCTATTCTTACTTCTTTTATCTTCATATAAACTTTGTTCTTTTTTGTTTGCTTTTGTTTTTATCGAGATTCTTTTATCTCATTCCTCTCTTTCAGGCAATCGCTACTAAGCTATATCTTTATCTTGATAAAGTTCTAGCTCGGTTGTGGGGGGGGCCGGAGGCCGTGGAGTGCCTGTCAGAAAGGTTTTCTCCTCCGCTCTCAGGACGATGTCGTCCTGAGCCTCGGCGAAAACCTTTCTACGACATCGGCTCTGAGGCTCCTCTGTCTAGTCTTTTGTATTGTATCAATTGTATTACATACGCTTTCACTCCTTCTTAGATCATCTTCCCCCTCAAACCCCGTTATCAACTACTTTTTATATCACAAACTTGATTATCCGCTTGTATTTGAAAATTCAATTGTCGATCTTTCCCCAATTCAATTTAACTTTATTTTAAAGTTTCCTATTGGGGACATTTTAAACTTCAGTACTCGACAGATCATTCATTTGGGATGAACGTTTTCTGCTCACCTTGACTTCCCATCAATTTCCTGCTCGTTTCCTCTCTTTCTTTTCCATTCCTGTCTCTTTCCCCTTCCGCTCTCGGTTGTTCTCTCTTTCTTTCCTTCTCCTTGTTTCTCTCTCTTCTTCTTCTTTCTCTTTACTTCTTTCCTCGTTCAGTTTCTTATAGTTTTCGTACATATCTAATTTTTTCCACCACTCTTTTGTCTCCTTCTTTTCTTGCTGTGTATATTTCCGTAAGTACAGCTCATACGCTTTAGATTCCCAACGGCCGATTGCCATTATCTCTTTCAATGGCCTCTTATCGTTCCATCTTATTGTTGCACCTCCTACTCTAAAGGAGTGGCCTGATAGCTTTTCGCCTCCGTTATGTTTACTCCAAACTCTTCTAAATATCCCCATCAGCTTCCGTTTTGTTAGCACGCTCCTAGTTCCGTTCTTCTCTAAATAGGAGAATAAAGGGTCGTTTGGGCCGGTTCTGTTGTCTGCTACTAATCTTTGGATTGCACCGATTGGGTCTAGAAGTGAGTGTTGCAGTACCAACTTCAAATATTGAATCTGTCCCGGGGCTGCTGTTTTCGCTTCGTGAATGGCAATGGTTACGCTTCCGTAATCCCCTGACCACCTCATGTCGTTTCTTTTTGGTAGTCGTTTCTTACTGTTGTCTGATACCAATTCTCCTAACCTAGCCATGCCCCAAAAAGCCACTAAAGCGATTGTCAATGCCAGCTGGTCTCTTCTGTCTTCCGTCGATAGTTCTTGTAGCAGTTGTACTAGGTGCTTCAGCATGACCGGTTTCTTCTGTTCTTTATCCGACAACCTTAACGCAGCTTCTGCTACTTTTGATGATTTCAACAGCACCTTCAACTTTAACGGCTCGTACCTTGGGTATACCTCGTTGTGAAACAGGTGCCAACATTTTATTCCCGTGAGGTATTTTTTAATCGTTTCTACTTCTATCTCGTGCTGATCTTCTTTCCCTTTCTCCTCTTCCGCCTTCTTCCCAGCCCATACTACAAACTCGTACAATCTTTTTCTCGTTAATGGTAGCACCTCTTTCCTATCGTACCCTTTTGTGGCTGCAAATTTTAGTAATTTTCCAACTCCGCTACTATAATTGCTTAAAGTTGATTGCGCCCATCCGCCAGACATCATGTGAGTTTGTACCTCATTTCCTTTCCATTTAATCTCCCCTTCCGTGTTTTGAAGAAAATGTGTGATTTTTGATTCTTTTATCACTGACATTATGCGGTCTCTAACAGTTGGTCTAGGTTGTTTGGGAGTATCAGCTCTAATCGGTTATGTACTTTGAGGTTTCCTAATTTCCCTCTCGACAGAGGATTGGCTTCGTTATTGTTCGACTCTACCCTTACGCCTGTGATGTTGCACTGTAGCTCTAAAAGTAGGTCTTGTATGATTTTGAGTTCGTTGTTCACTGCCTCGTCTTTAGACTTTCGTTTTTGGATGGCTGACTCTGCTGTCGTGTTGTCTGTTAGTACAATGAAATTTCTCCCCTTCGTGTCCATCAGTTTATCAATCATCAACAATCCTATTCGTATCGCCGCGAATTCGGCCCACGCTATGTTGCGACACGTCTCGTCTTCTTCTAGGTTTCCGCTCTCCCATTGCTGTTTCAGTTTATACCTCGTCCATCTTTCGCCTATCCTCACTCCTATTCCGAAACCTGTGCTTGCGTCACCGACCCAGCCTACGTCTTCTGGAGCTGGCGTTGGCACTATTCGTCGCGGCTCGAAGGTTGTCAGGGCTCGGAGCCATTGTTCTAGGTCCAGCTTTGCCTTCCTAGAGATCCTCCTTTTCGCGTTGGTCTTCTTCCATACTTTAAGCCAACTGTACAGTCCTCGGATATGTGCCTTCATGTGAGGTAAAAGGTAAACTATGTGAGCTATCTTCCCTATCAGCTGTTCTGCCTCTGTCTTTTTCCACACTTTATCTGGCTCTAGCATTTCTCTTATCGACTCTATCCTTTCTTGTAGCTTCTCGTCCGGGAGTCTCACGGTTTTGTCTCGTCCATTGAAAATGAATCCGAGATATTTTTGTTTGTCCGCAAAATCTTGCAGCTTTTTCCCGTTAGTCTTAACTCCCATTGAGTCGCTCAGTGTTACCACATCTTGTAAAAGTAAGTCACTTCCTTCTTCTTTCACTATCATGTTGTCGTCTACCCATCTGAAGATGCGGTCCACCTTTAATAGCGTTTGAATAATTTTTCTCCAGACGTCTGCCATTTTACCAAAAGTTCCGCAACCGGCAACACCTCCGAAAGGGACACGAGTATCGATCCAGATCATGCCGTCAAAATCTTTGATGGTGAGATACTTCCACTCTAACAACATTACCGCTGCCTGCCTATAGGCTTTTTCCCAGTCGAAGATTGCTAACAGTAACACTTTCCCGTGATTATCTCTAAAATATCTTGCCACAGCTTCGAAGTCGTCCCAGGAGGTATCGAAATCGTGTTTGTCTACCATGGAGTTCACCGATGGTAAGTCGTGTTTCATAACTGGGTAGGATAAATCGTTGATCATGCGTAGAGTCCCGTCGTTGTTAACTACGCTTCCCATCGGGTTAGATCTGAAGAAACCCCATCTTCGGTATACTTCCTCTTTTGTGAATGGGCCGAATATCCTTCCGGCGGCTTTCTCATTGCGAAGGTTTTTCATTATCTTCTCTCTTACTGCTAGGGCGGAAGCGTGATTGTCTGGTGTGTACCACCTCATATTTGGTAAAGTATGCTGTGGTATTCCTTGAGTGAAACCGTGTTTTAAACCTTCTATAACTTCTCTCCCTTCTGCTCCTAGGTCACATTTTTCAACTAACTCCTCCCACCTCCCTATTATCATTTCACACTTAACTTCGGTTGGCCATCTTGGATGTTTCCCGAGGGACGATTCTGTCTTTTGTTCCGTCTCGGGTTTTGAACGTTCCGTTTCGCCGGTTTTGGGTCTTTTTTCTTTACGGATTACAGGTTCTGCATGTACAACCTGCCTGCTCACGAACCAAGGGAAAGGGTTGGGGTAGGAAGGCGGTGGGATAGCAAAAAAGGTATGTCAGGACTCTCAATCTTATATTGGACGCTGCCTTTTTTCATTTCTTATGATTAATTGTGTTAGGGGAGGAAGCTTTTATTCTAGAGACATGAGTGGAGCAATGTGAAAGACAGGTGGGTTTCTTGAAACGCATGGATGGATCGGATGCAAAAGAAAAGAAAAGAAAAAACAACAATATCGAGGACTTTTTTAGAACAACTGTGTCTTCTAACTCACTTCTGTGCGGTACTGCTCGTGCTTGCTTTTGCTCCCAAACTTTTATCAAAACTCCCTGGTCCTATTTTAGGACGGTCTCCTGTCCCGTTTGATCCCCTGCCTCTTCCGAATCCTCCTCCATAACCTCCTCCATAGCTTCCTCCAAAACTTCCTCCAAAATTACCACCAAAACCATTCCCAAAATTTCCTGAACCTCTACTCGATCCTCTCCATGGTTGTTGAGTGAAATTTCCTCTTCCTCTGCCTCTCCCACTGTTAAAGCTACTTCCGGCAAAGTTTGTGCTCGAATGATTGTTTGAGCTCGCTAGATGTGATACCAGCCTTCCTCCTGTTACCGCCTGGATTTGGGCGTCTGGGTTTGCGGCTGCTAGATCCCAACCGACGTGATACTTCCCTGTCCATGGGCATACATGTTCCATTGCACCTCCTATCACGTACGGGTTGTCTGGGTAGATGTTGTTGTTGTTGGCTTTCGAGTCTGCTAACGCTTGCTCCCACAGTTCCTTGTTCTTTGTGCCGACGTCGGAAAGTAGTCCGTTAGGCATCAGGTGGCTCCACACATTAGTCCGATGTAGAATATCGTATCAAAATGCCGGTGCCCAAGCTTGATGGACTTTCGACTTTAAACTCAGCACGATTTTCTTATGTGCTTCTAGTCTCAACGCTATGTCTTCTCGGTCGTATAGCTCTCTCCAATACTGCACACATAAATTGAAGGAGTCCGACCATTGTAAGTAAGACTGTCGCCATTCATTTGTCACTCGTAAACCGGTGTATCTGATGACGTCTGTGCATTGTTTCGCTGGGGCAGTTTGTGTCGTCATGTGAGCTTTATCTGCCAACAGCCAGGTCGTGTCGAAGACCGTCAATGGGATGTAACCAAAACACGCTTCCATTTTCGCGTTCCAGAAGGGTGAGAGTTCCGTGAGATTATGGGTCAAGACTGTCGCTTGTCCCATCTTTTTCCCGACTTTCTTGGGTTTTTTCTCATCTTGATCTTTTGCTTTCCTCTTATGCTTCTTTAGATCGACGTCTTCTTCTTCACTTCCGCTTTGGTCTGATCCTGCTAGTAAATTTAGGCCTCTAGGTCTAGTGTTGTGTTCTTCGCACCAGTGATAGTAGGCGTTCCCTAGCATCTCGCAACGGCCTGTCTTTCCGGCGCGGTATAGCCTCAACAACTCTGTTTCGTACCTGGCGTGTTCTCTTTTGATGTGGCCATCAGCGTTTGCAAATTCTGCTTCGTTTTCTAATTTTCCATTGAGAACAAACACAGGTGAGGTCTTATCAGTCATTATTCTATCACGACGCTGCTTCTTTTTTAATTCAAGAATACAATGGTTTCCTGGATCTGTTGTCTCCTCTTTCCTAGGTCTTTTCTCCGAGTCTATATTGCCTTCAGCACAGACTACAACACTCTATCCACTCTATCTTATCACAACAGGTCACAATATTCACACGTTTCAATTCAGGCCACACTTTCTATCCGAAAACATTCTTGTTAAGGCCACACCAGTTATTCAGGCCACACTCTTTATTAATCTCGGCCACACTTTATATCAGGTCATTTCATATTCTGTGGGCTGCACGTTTTGTTTCTGGCCACACTTCTTTCCACACTGTTAGTCATATGTTTTTCGGAATGTGTCTTTAGAATCAAAATTGTGATAGGGATAACCTGCTGGGTTGTGGAGATGGCTGTCTGGAGGGATGGGTGGAAAGCTAGTGCAGAGTTGAAGGATTTATTACTAGAGACTGATGATAGTTTTCCTGACTTACGGAGTCCTATTCCACTTTCACTTCGATTATCTATCTCTTCTTCTTCACCCTTTTCTGATGTTTCTGACAGTGACTTGTTCCCATCTATCTTCTCATCTTCTCCTTCACCATTCTCGCTTCCACTTTCCTCGTCTGTTGTGGATTCTTCTTTTGGGTGTCTTATCCTTCCTTCTTCTATATGTTCTTCCTTCTTTAATGTTCTCCCTTTTCCTCTTCCTCTACCGCCTCTTCCTCTTCCTCTTCCTCGTGTTTTACTGCCTCCTATCTCGTGACTCACTTGGTTTTCATCGTTGTCAGTTTTCCCGACTCTTGATCTCGTTATTCTGTTGAAATCTTTGGTTTGTTGAGTTAAGCTTATTTCTTGCGGTTGTTCCATTTCGTTTTGAATTGATTTTGAATTAATTTTTCGAATTGAGTTTTTCGAATTGAGTTTTATTGATATATAAGCTTTTCAGAAGAGTCTCGGAAAGTATTTTCTGACTTAGTGGTGATCAGTGAGTTGTGAGGTGTTTTACTACCTTTGCTAAAAAGCTTGCCCGGTTTGATCGCGAAGAAGAGACATGAGAGGTCAAATTTGGCCGCAGCCTGCTGCGAGGCCGCTGCGCAGCTCGTCAAGATCCCAAATTTGGCCGATCACAAATCCTGAAAGAGATCGACTTCACCCATGGATCTCCGACTTTGAACCATTTTGAGACACATTGTGACTATATTCACAGCATATCTGGAGCTTGGTATGTCCAGATCAACCATACAGTCAAATTCAGCTCTCATTTGATGATATCGAGGACCAAAAGTGCTGTGATGTTTCATAGTCTCCCTGGTATAATGGTCTGCCTAGATGGTTGTCTTCACACTCTTGACCCCTCATTAGTAGTGTGTTCAAGCCTTGATAAACTTTTGTGCTTTTTTGTTTCGGCTCTATGAGACAAACAAGTACAAGTCCAAAAAGGACGACATGTTTTTTTAAAAAACTTTTGTTCTTCTTGCTCAGTTAAGAGCTCACCATAGGATGATGATTGGATTGACAAATGTCCAAGATGTAAGCCTTGATTTCATTTCGGAATTTTAGCAAAAAAACGCTGCTCGGCCTTGAACCCAAGATGGCAGAAGCACCCACGTTGGCTAGTCACGCATTGTTAAGCCGTTCGACAAGAATCGCTTTCTTAAAATGGAATTAAAACAAATCTCGATAACATTCGCAGCGCGATAGAAATCGCATAGACCTGTGAGCATGATTCCATCATGATGAGGGAGATATTTGCGCTTTATGATTGATTTCAACATATCTCAATGTCAGAGATCCACAGGTGAAGTCGATCTCTTTCAGAATCGGTGATCGGCCAAACTTGGGTTCTTGTCGAGCTGCGCAGCGGCCTCGCAGCAGGCTGCGGCCAAATTCGAGCTCTCTTGTCTCTTGTTCGCGGTCGAACCGGGCAAGCTTTTTAGCAAAGGTAGTACTCTAGTCTGTGTGCTTCCCTGTTTGGGAGAGGAGGGCCGATTCCTTGGTCGGCCCCGGTTTCTCAACTCACGGGTCCCTTGCGTCCAGTGCTCCGATGGAACTCACTGATGACGTCGTCCCTTTGGCCACCAGTGCCACGTTCTTTACATTTTTGATTCACATCAATTTTTCTTTCCTTGACATTCGCTTGCGGATTTGAAAGGAAAGCAATTCGGATGGAGGTATGAGATCATTTGTTTCCCTTTGTTTTTCTTGTCAAATTCAATGTTCTTCTTCAATCTTTTTAAGTTTTTATGGAAAAGCGCGAAGGATGACAGAAATGATGTCAGTAATGGCTTCGGTGTGAGATCGATTACGCATGATTGTAATGAATGACTAAACGCCAGATATCATGACATAGGAAAGAGAGATCGTTGCGTATTTTCATTGGCGGGACGACCACTTACTTTTTCTTCTCATCATCAAGATTTTTTCGTCTAGCTGGGTTTCCTTGAGCAAATTCAATCTGTGGACCGGAGTAGTGGGAAAAGTAAGTTCCTCGTTGGTTTGTTGATACCGCACACATCATGCTTTGAATTTCATATGAAAATAATTCAAGGACTTGATGAGACTCACAGCCAAGTACGCCTGTTGACCTTATGGTGGAATAGAATCGTGATGTCAGCTAGTGTTTACAGAATACAATTCTTATAATAGTCAACGTCTTCACCTACCCACTAATTTAAAGACTTTGTTAGCAATCTACCAATCACAGGAAGATAGAAATGTCAGCTGAACGATCACATAGAAATATTTTTGAAGCGTGTGGGTCTCCCATGCTGCAATCTGGGCCCGCTTCAGAAATTTAAGTGTTGATTTACCATTCCGACGTTAAGCGCATCTTTAAGCTTTTTATCCTTCGTGCTCTGTACACGCCACATACAATTTATAAAGTCGACATTGGTAGAATATCAGACATCAAAGATGCAAGCAAAACGATTGCATATCTTGAATAGATCAAAATGATACCCACAGCGATTGTCTTTACAAATCCTGGTTTCTCGTTATCACTTGCAGCTCTCGCCAAGGTCTTCAACTTTCCTAAATCATCCTTAGAGACAGCCTTCAGTTTGTCTAGGGGTATGATCTCAAAGTCTGCATCAAATTTGAGGAAAAAGGGTTCAAGAAAGACCTGAACGGATTTCTTCAGTGAATCTCCTGCCACTCCGTCAGATATCTGAAATCCACAAGAAATTCGGAGTTTCAAAGATCAGGCCATGTCTGCTGCTTCCGATTGTTGGACTAATTCAAAGTGATTTGCGCAAATTGTGATATCCAACTCACCTGTAACTGTTCGTAAGCTTGAGAACCAGATACAGGATTGTCCTTTTTTCTCCTGGTAAGCTCATGGTGACCCGAAGCATCTGCGACTTTGCTGGCAAGCCCCAAAGACCATGCTTGTGAAATTATAAAAGTCGCCACGACAAAAATACGTCCGGCGCATAGATGGGGCATTTTGATGATGTTAATTGTAATCAGAGACCTCAGTGATCCGCTTTCCAGATAAAGGTGATAGGAAATTATGGTATTGTAAATGTACAGATGAAAGGTTTAGGATTACTAGTGGAGTTGATCGAATGAAAATGAAAAATTCTAGTATTGTGAACGTGCAAATGAAACGGTTTTGGAAAGTTATGGGCGTTGATTGAATTGAAAAATCTCGCTACCTGGGCCTATATAGGTGGAAGCTGAGACTTGAGCCTTCAGTGTAATTCACCGAGCGAGGGTTCCGAAAGTCTTCAAGCCACCACGCGTTCATCGTGAATCGCATGTTGGCGTGCATCGGTGACACGAGGAGCCTAGGAGGTGGTTTGAAACCGAGTCGACACAACTGCCTTCACGTTCAACGGTTCTTCCCTACACACTCATAGATACTGCCATCTGGCATCCACCGGTCGTTGACTCTCGACTTCTTGAATAGTCGATTCCTCAATATCAGATGAAGTTTGCCAACGACTGCTGAAGCAGAACGTTTCTTGTTGAGCACTCTCCCCGATACCCAAGCAATGAAAGAAAAATTGGTAACACTCTCATTGAATGAGCCGAGGTGGAGACAACAGAGGCCCTCGAGACCAACTCGTGGCTCGTTTCCGTGCGCCGGCCATTTTAGAATTTCCTGCTTCGACACCTGAAGAATATGGTACGAAGGAAGGAGTCGTGGTATCACGCAGAGGGTTCTCTCAAGCAACTCTTTCATGAAAATGAAGCTTGCTTCTACAATAAGAGCCCTACAGACTCGTTTGTACATGATGGACCCGCCGCTTGTCCAACCAATACGGCGGTACTAGAGCATGATGTGGTGTTTGATAGCCGCCAGGCTCCAATGAGACCGCACTGAATCAAATAATTGTCGAGTCTTCTGGACCCAGGTAGAGAGCAATCGGGTGATGAAACCTGAAATCACAAGGTATTCTTCAGCTCAATCACTTGCTTAAGCCATCTGTGCTCGAATGGCGATTCCCCCGGAGTCATCGTGCGAGAGTTTGATCCAATGGCATATGATCGCGCTGCCTGGGGAGAGCTGGAGAGCCTATATGGATTTCATGTCGACATTGCGTTCAAACTATTCAAGAATACCTTACTCTTCAGATTCGCGGTGTCCATATTGGCAGTGTGGGGAAGATTGATCGCGAAGGTGTGTGCAATGCTTCTGGGCATCCTTGAGAGAGAGAGGCTTTCCTCTAACTCATTTCTTTATGCTGATTGTGTACCGTATCACATTGTTCTCACCAGTTACACTGACACCTGAAGCTAACCTTTCACACTTTATGATATGTATATGCAAATGGTTCTACGGGTTCTTCCTTCCTCGTGCACCATCTAGTACTTTGCCATCATATTTGTATCTGTAGAATGCGAGTCATGAAAAGAATGAAAAGCCGCAACTTGAGATTTTCTCCCCATCAAGGAGCCCTTCCTGGAGTAAAGCAGACAATCTGAGGCGTAGAGCGTGTACAGGCAAATGACGTACTTGGACGGAACCCGCTGACGCTTTCAATCCGAACGTCAAGCCAAGCTCCCCTCAGATCTTAGATCCTATAGGCCGGCTTTGTACCATCGGTGGGATCACCCTTGGCTCACGGTGATTCTGTTACTAGAGGTGGATCAATAAGACTGAATAGCGCCGGGCACGGCACCAGAAGGAACAACGCAAATTACCTTACATACACAGTCAATGTTAACAAATATAAACAATATGTATGTACTTTGATTGAAGATGTGCATTCAACAGGGAGAAGTGTGATGGAAGGACAAAACGAAACATGAAAGAACCTCGCACGAATCAAAACAAGCTGATCGTGATCATGGAAGGGATGTGACTGGAAACATTACATGATCTATGAGCACAACTGTGTATTTCCAGAACTTGGTGGAGAAACTTGGTGGTCTGAACTCTAAAAGCCATCAGTCTCAGTGCTGAGAGGGTGACGAGGGTGCGAAAACACCACCCATGAGCCATCCGAATGACAATAAACCAAGCAATTTATACAGTCCCTGGCGTTCTTCACCATTCAATGGCCGGTCCTCGGATTCAAATTTCGTATCCGGTTGGCTGGAAGCTTTGCCTGCTATTGAAGACGAAGGCCATAACTCTTGAAATTGCGACATGGCACCAGAAAGGGCTGGAAGAAAGGAAGTGCTGTTCTCCGCATTCGATGATGACAGTGGTTCATCTTTTGTTCCGGTGCCAATTGTCGGACCTCCTTCTGGTAAGGTGCTGGGGTGAGATGCGGTCGAGAACTCAAGAGCGCCTGAGGTACCTTGCACCTGCTTGATCTCGGGCGCGTGGGATTGAAGGTGAGAGTCATAATTGTCGGGAATGAAGGGCTGATTGATTGTCACAAAGGGATCAAACCAATCAACATGGGTCAAAGACATAGTTGCAGTGGAAGCACATTTGGGGGGGCAAAGCTTACAACGGCTGTGCTTTCAATTTCTTGCAAAGGAGTGATAGGCAAGTTGACAGACGCAGGCCAGGTTTCAGCGTGATGTCCTTTACTCAGTTTGTTGGAAACAGGTGATCCAAGTGCGGAAGACGTTTCGGCGATCTCTTCCGCCTTATTTATTTTTGTCAATACTGGAACGTCTTTCTCCACCTCGTCTGTGACCCGAGCCACCATCGGTGCGGGAGAACTAATCTTGATTGCCATGGGTCCCGGTTTCTGGTCCTTCTTGGTAGAAATCGAACGAGCTTGAGAGGTTATTGGGGTGGCACTGGTTCGCTGCTGCTCATCTTCCAAGATTTTGGAAATCAAAGCCGACTTCGTCCTGTTCTTTGGTCCGCTGCATGGCGTATGTGAAGATGATCAGGACAAATGAAAAAGCGTCAAATTCACAACGTAAGAACAATCGTACTCTTATACAATGAACCATCTCCACAATAAAGGGAAAAGATGACTGACGTAGTAATCCCCCGCTTCTTCAATTCCTCACGGAGCTCATTCACCGTCTTTCGCTCGAAGTCTGTTCTGGATAATAGCGTTTGGGAAACAAAGGACCGCTTTGGGAATTGAGAAGAGGCCGAAGGGAGATTGATAGTTTTGAGGAGTTGGGAAGTGCAAGCTGAGTTTTTCAATCGATGTGAAAGCATTCTGGATATGGTACTCTTGCAGGCGGAGTTATATCAAGTGACTGTGTATGTTGTCGATGGTCGTTAAAATGCAATTCCCTCCTTGAGCGCTCCATATGGCGATCGACAACGGGAATGGATGTCATCGGGGAGGGTGTCACAGATTTATCCGTGTGTCACCTGAATACATATATGTCACTCTGGCCCTTTGGATACCGAGGCCATGTCACAGCAGTGACAGCTTATGAATGGCCTGCTAGACATATGAACTCAGAAGTAAAGAAAGGTCAACAAGGATTCCAAGATTCCTCCTTCGAACGCTCAACACAAATCAACATCAACATCGAGTTTTCTGTACCAAGATGAACGCGTTCGAGGCAATGAAAGCGGGCGCAAGCTCTCGGAAAATGGCGGAGGCACCCTCTAATCCTACTGTCTTACCATCCGCCTTACCATGGGTCGAAAAATATCGACCTAAGAACATCGAAAGCGTAGAGGGTCAAGATGCGACGACGCGTGTGTTGGCCAAAACCTTGCATCGAGCTGATGTTAGTTCGTCTATCTCCCTTATTTTTTTTCGGTTTTCACCTCATCGCGTCAATCAAAACCATCCTGATCATCTTGGCCTTTTCTGCTGCTTTTGATGTAGTTACCACACATGCTATTTTACGGTCCACCTGGGACCGGTAAGACTTCCACCATATTGGCACTCGCGCGCGAACTTTTCGGGTATTGTTATTTCCTTGTTTGAAAAGATTGATAGACACCATTTCTACGCGATGTTCTGCTTGAAGATTGATCATTCGAAATTCTAACTCGCACGTCGAGTCACTCTTCAGACCTGAATTGATGAAATCGCGTGTCCTGGAATTAAATGCTTCTGACGAGCGGGGAATTTCAGTCGTAAGAGATAAGATTAAGAGTTTTGCTAAGGTTTCAATCAGCCCGGCCACAAAGTAAGTAGATTTCACCATGCTTGAGCCGGTACAAGTTACTAACATCATGGTTCTTCAGCGCTTATCCATGTCCGCCTTTCAAAATCATCATTCTTGACGAGGCAGACTCAATGACTCAGGATGCACAGTCAGCTCTCCGACGTATCATGGAGAATTACTCGAAGATCACTCGGTTCTGTCTCATTTGTAACTATGTAACACGGTAAGTTGTCTCTGGAACATCCATAGTCCTTTAACATGGCCCTGTGTAGTCTAAACAACTTACGTTCTCATGTCTCTTTTCTTCCTAGAATCATTGAGCCAATTGTATCGAGATGTAGCAAGTTTCGATTCACCCCTTTATCTTCTACAGATACCCTATCGAGGTTAAACGAGATCTGCAGGTTGGAAAATGTGAAAGTCGCGGAGCCCGTATTGGCATCACTCATCAAAGTCTCTGATGGTGATTTGCGACGATCAATTACCTTCCTTCAGTCGGCATCCAAATTAAGGAATGGAAGCTCTGCAGATGATGAAGCGGGTGAGATTACTCAGGAAGATGTGGAAGAGATAGGAGGCGTCATTCCGGATACTGAGATCCGCAAGCTCATGAAGACAATGGGAATAGACGTTGAGGCTGATGGTGATGTGACAATGGCTGATGGAAATACTCGGGGCAAGACACGACAGACGCCATTTGAAAAAATTGCTGAAGCAGTGGAGCTGCTCATGCGTCAAGGATATAGCTCAGTACAGCTAATAAGCCAAGTAAGCATGCTGTTTGATTTCTCGTGTATTTGCATGCTGGATGGAGCTCATATATTCACCTCTGTCGATCTTAGTTGCATGATTTAATACTGCTGGATACACTCATCCCACCCCGATGTAAGACTATGATTTCCATCGCTCTTGGTGAAACGGATAAGCGACTAAATGACGGAGCTGAAGAAGAGCTGCAAGTACTATCTCTATGTCTGAAAATCTGGAAAGCAATGCAGTCGTCATGATTTGAGTGGAAACGATTCTAGTGCTATCTTGTACCGGAAGTACTAGTCCCTTCCACACCAATATTAAAGGAAATAGCAGCCAGCTGGTAGCAAGTGTATGACTTGGGGCTCTGACAATCCGAGTGATTTCTCTTAACTGTGCAAGGCTCCCTACGAGGCGTATGAATTCACCCAATCAGAAGATTCAACCTCCAAGCAACATGAGCTATAGGGACTGTGACAAGATTCGAAATGGTATTGACAATTTTTGCCTTCGAAGATCCCAAATGAATAGACAACTATTGTTGCGCATTGAACACGTGTTGAAATCCAGAACACGTGTCCTCTGCAAAACTTTGATCTTATCATCGAATGTCATCAGTCTCATCATCGTTGTATCAAGTCAGCTACATTCCAAAAGGCGAGACCAGCCATGCGACAGCTGGCTTGTGGTGATACAGTAGAGTGAACCGTCCCCATTTTTATAGAGCGCAAAGACAGATCCAGACCACGAGCTTCATCGCTTTCAAAGATATGTATAAGATGCAATGATGTCAACATATATCCCTTTCAAGTAAGATCTCTTTGTTGCAACCTTAGATACGCTTTTGAGCCGGAAAGAGATAACTCCTATTCATCTTATCGAACCTTTTCTCTCCTCTTGCTGAATCTTGTATGATGTACATCCACAGCGAGCGCTCCATTTGATATATTTGTTTCTCGGTAAGACTCTTGCCAAGAGACAAGGGGATTTTTTTGTACGTATCATGTTGTCACTTGCTGTGCAGATTGAAATGATAAGTATTCTCAAACACTCAAGACTTGCTCAGCATTTCATCTCGTACACCAGAGGTAGCCAGAGGTAAATGTCCTTTTTATCCTATGATCCTCAGATCCGCATTAACATTCACAACGAGAGTCCGACATGACAATAAAGTTCAAACCTAGTGTAATACTGACCGGAATTCCAATCAAACGCTTGGTATGAACCATTGAAGATGCTTCACGTTTCATCTTCATTTCTTTTGATTTCCGTCTTGTCATTGTTATGCAACACCCTGGCCAAACTCATCGGCATCAGAAAAATGAGTGTAAGGCAGACAGGAGAAGGTGAGATATAGATGAGGGGCTACTGGCTAACTTTTCCAAACAACTGATAAATTTGTTATGAAAGTCGAGGAAATTTTAGAGAATGGTCACTGTCTGTTGGGAAGGGTGACAGTGTTTTCAGAACAAAATTGCAAAAGAAAAACATAACCAGGCTGCTTATCTCTTCCCTTTGAGAAATCACAGCTTACAACAAAGAAGTAAAATAAGATACGAAAAACTTGCTTTCTCCCAATCCGTCCATAACCACTTTCACTAATTGCCCTACATATTTATGACGTATAGAGATAAGAATGAGTTGAGAAAACCTATTTGCCTGTCCCAATCCGTACATTCATTTTTTCTTGTCTCTTTGTTTCATCTCTAGCTCATTTGCATCCATCCTTCATGATTATCATGTTCAGCTGGTGGTGTGAGGCTTGGTTACTCTTCGAGGGCGGGGCACGCGCGCTCGCAAGAAGAGCAGCTCAAATATGACCACCCAAGGTTGATCAATCTTTTGCCGCCTCAACTGACTCTTCAAATGAGGCCATCACTCCTGCATATGTGGTGCACCTAGAATTGCAGCTGAATGCTATGAAAATATGGCTTCAGACCCAGACTCCGACCAGCTCGTTATTCTTCGGCTTTATCGTGCGTATTACCAATCCATTGACAATGTCATTCTCCGGAGCTTCGCGTGTTATGATCTATGCGATTTCTCCTGTTGAAAAGATGGAGAAATCCTACACCGTTTTCGATCAAAGCGACAAACTCGCATAACTCGACGATATGCAGTGTCTTTCGGGGAATCAAGGCTCTTCACGGAGATGTGTTTGTCTTGAAACTTATGTACCTAGGATGCATATGGTCACTCCATTGGCGACTTCACTGGAGTCCAGACCTTCGCGTGTCATGATTTGCAAGATCGTGAAGAAACAAAGAAATAATCGTACACAATGTTCGATCTATACCACAAACTTACGCAACTCGACGACATCTCGATCGGGGAGTCAAGTTCCCCTCAGCGGGAAGATACTTGTGATCTAAGTCAAAGGATTTCACATTTGAGATGTGAGAAGTGTAAAAAAAACTCCATCGGCCTCCTCTCGTGGTGTTCAATGTTCTTCATCTGTATCATTTTGACTTTTGTTGGTGCCGAATTATGATCCCCATGGTCGAGGTAATTTACTTTCTCAACAATTTATTCCCTTCCATGTCTAATTGCTGAAACTTTGCATCAAGTTTAGAAATCATACCTGTTTCAATTTTTCCACCAGGAAAGATAGGTCGGTGCCATCGGAATAGACCGATGACATGGTTCATCTTTCTGGAACCCCCATGAATCCGATCGATAGGTATTCGCTCATTATCGGGTCAAAAAAAAATCTATATAACCCTTGCCGGTTGTTGGGAAAGACCTTGTAGGTATAATCTATTCATCTCTTCATTCTAAAATAGTATATTCTCATCTTTCTTCGCCTCTAAATAAACCTCATATCATGGATGTTTCAGGGTAATTGATAAATCTATCTGGCGCCTGGTTTAATTCTTTCTAGAGTCTGGTACTAACTCCTGATCTTGTTACGCGGTTGTGATGGTTACTTTTTTTCATTTTTTACTTAGATTTCGTAAAGCAGGCCACGAGGCCGTTGAGAAGTATATTACCAAAATCTTATACGATCATAAATCCATCTTTTTAACATCCTTGTCACCTTTATGTATGGGGTATCTTTCGAAATAGGATTGCACAATATTATGAGAGATTAGGAAATCTACCGGTGGCTTCTTTATCCGAACCAGGAGATGTGAAAGCTTTAGTTTCAGGTATGAATTGATTTTTTATGTTGACGTCTGCTGAACAATCATCATATTGAACCATGTGGATTTGTTTCTTTTGAAAATCAGGAAAACCTCCTTTGAAAGGTGTGCCATTCGATGAGATATCCGACGACTTTGAAAAAATAATCCTACCTGGGTATGTTGTGAACGTCTCGCCAAATTCTCATATCTTGCTCACATATGATCTTTCCTTAGGATTACACATTGGCAGGTATAAGTGTTTCCCAATCATGTGACCAGAAATACTTCAACCTAGTAGGAAGCTATTGCTCATATTTTGAACATCACTTATCGTTCTTTATAGCATCCATCATTTTTTGCGCTATATCCAGCAAACTCCACTTTCGAATCTATCATTGCAGACATGTACTCTGCAGCCGTGAATAACCCTGGATTCAACGTCAGTATCTCATCTTATCATCGGGAATACGTTGATCGAGAGAGTGAAATTGACTATCCATATCGTCAAAGTGGTCTTGCTCTCCAGTCACAAGTAAGTTTAAGAACCCATCCATGATGTGTGACGGTTGTACTTGACGCATCGATCATTTACGCGCTTGTTTTGGCTACATGCACAGCCGACCTCGAGGTGGTAATGATGGATTGGGTTGCCGAGCTCTTGGGGCTTGGTGAAATCTACAAGTCAGCTTCCAAAAAAGGAGGGGGGACAATAGTGGTAAGTAAATTTAGCACAGATTGCAATAAAACGCGACAAATTCTAAAGAGACTTCATGACTCATTCTCTAGGGTACCGCTTCAGAAGCTTGCTTGACTGTAGCCATAGCAGCCAGAGAAAGGACCTTGAGATACGAGTCTTCCAGGATGTTTCCAAAAATGAAAGAATTACGTCTCTCAGACTTGAGCGACATCGAAGTTCCACCTGTAGCTGGAAGAGTGCATCTAACAGCCAGGGAACGCTCTGAGTTTACCGGAAAATTGGTGATGTATGGAACCAGTGAGACTCATAGTATGGGAGAAAAGTCAGCTCTCGTACTTGGTCTTCGATGGAGACCTTTGCCAGTCAAGAGTCAGGATGGATGGAGTTTGAGAGGGGATACCTTACGTCAAGCTCTGGAGGATGACGTTGCCAATGGATTAATTCCATGCATGCTAGGTAAATATCCGTGAATACTCATTGCATAAAAATCTGACGCCATCTTTCCAAAACACGTCAATAGTTGCAACTCTAGGTACCACAAACGCAGGCGCGATGGACACACTTGATGAAATAGTAGAAGTTGCAAAAGATTATCCAACTTTATGGATTCATGTGGACGCAGCTTGGGCAGGAGTATATCTAAGCTTACCTGAATATAGATCAAACCTATACCTCGATACGATCAATCAAGACCATCAGTTTGACTCAGTTTCCGAAAACCAATCAGACAACATCTGGTCTGAAGAAGTTCAAAGCATACTCAAAACACCTCCAGGTGTTGTGAATAGTTTTTGTACAAACTTTCATAAATCTGGTTTAGTTTCTTTTGATTGTAGTACTTTCTTTATCAGAGATAGAAGCTCCTTAACCGAGGCTCTTGAACTCACTCCTCATTATTTGAAATCAAAGGAAGGAGATTCAAGTGAGTTTTATGATTTTTCTTTACTTCTTTGGATGAACCATTATTACTTTTGTTCTTGAACAATATATTGACAACACCTTAAATCTCTTTGAAACAATTGCACCCACAGATGTCAATCTGGATTTCCGAAATTGGGGAATTCCTTTAGGACGTCGATTTAGATCTTTAAAACTTTACTTCGTTTTAAGATCCTTTGGTGTAGAAGGATTTCAAAATGAATTAAGACGTACTATAGATTTAACAAACTATTTTGGAAAGTTAATAAAACAAGATGATTGGTTTGAAACTGTTCAAGAGAATTCATTAGCGCTTGCAATCTTTAGAATGAAACCACCTCAAGGATACCTAGAAACCAATCAATCTAATCATTCAAATCAAAAGACTTCTCAAGCTAATCAAATCATTGATGCTCTTAATCAAAGACTTGGTTTATTGGTACAAGCTACCAACAAGATCAGTCTTACTTCAACCATCTTAGATGACAAATTTTGTTTTCGTTTGGCTATCGGTAGAATGTCAGAAAAGTTTCACATTGATGAAGCTTTTAAATTGTTTCAAGATTGTTTAGAGACTTTAAAATTAGAATTAAAACTTGATGAACTTCTTTCTAAGATTGAAATCAATGAAGGTCTTGATCATGAACTTGATCCAATGGGAATTTCAGAGAAGTGATTTTAAAATTCTTTCCTTTTTTTGATATTCTTTACCATTTGATAGATTTCCATAAACATCTGTTAAAATGCTCTACTTAGCTCATCATGATCATCTTACCAATGAACATGTTATCGTGTTTTTTTGCTGATGAAGCATTCTCTTTTTGTTTTTTGTGGCCTGCATATTTCCCAAGACTGTAAATACTAGACTTGATCTAACTTCATACACGAATTCAATCTTTGCAGAATCATCTCATCCATGTGGTAAAAATTAAAAGTATGACCTTTAAGGACCTGTAATTGAGTCTTCAGAGAGATGTTGGGCAAATTCCACCAACAGGATATGCATTCCCTTGAGGCTTGGACTGGGTGTCCGAGTAATTGATCCGAGCCAACCTTTGGGGTCAAAAGGCCAAAGAAAGCCTCGGATCAATTACTCGAGAGCCGCGTCCGAGGCCATTGCCATCCTGATCCGAGGATACCTCGAAGTTGATCCTCATTGCTCTTCATTGACGCTATGCATCAGACTTTGAATTCAATAGAGGTCTTGATGGAAAACTTGATTGGATGGGAATTTCAGTGAGATCCATGACTTGAAATTACAAGTATAAGTGTGATGACATTCATGTCCAAGAAGCCTCATGGCCATCTTAATCTTCCTCTAATCAGGATGTTCTTTTGGGAGCATCAACTCAGAAATTGAGAACTCTATCACAAACCACAATAAGCTTATGGGGTTCATACATTTCTCGATGTCACCTCTGGAATGTATTTTGATTGTGACTGACTGACCAACAAGAAGTGATCAGGATCTTGAGAATAGACAAAGTAGATTATAAACTAGTACTGATAATATAGCAAGGCACATTTATTACATACTTTCAAGAAAGGGATGAGAGAACCAGTAATTTGATAATCTCAATCCATCAATCCTTCATTTCGATATCCTGCATCATCCATCCATCCATCATCAACATTCAGTTTGTATAACTTATTTGACTGTGTTACTGTTTACCCTTTCATCTGAATCTTGACTTGCATTCTTCTACCTAGTTCCATCAGAACAAAACAAAATGATCACACCCTTCATCAATCAACTTCATTCTAAACTGAGTTTACTTTCAGATCATCCTAATGTCAAACATTCATCTCAAGACAAGATCAAACCCTCTTCGATTCATCCATTCTTAAGTGGAAACTTTGCTCCAGTCCATATTGAACATTCTTTAACACTTTGTCAATTCTCAGGTGGTTTACCTGATGAACTAGTAGGTGGTCAATACTTGAGGAATGGTGCTAATCCACTTCATTTACCTACTCCTGATCAACCTTATCATTGGTTTGATGGTGATGGAATGATTCATGGTGTTTATTTCTCTTCATCCTCTGCACCACTCTATGTGAATCGATTCGTGGATACTGATATTTATCGAGCCAGTAAACGTCGTGGAAATTCAATCTTACCTTCAATTGCTTCACTCATCTCACCCATCAGCTCTCCTGCTTCTCTTCTAGCTACTATTCTTCGAGCTGTCTTTATCAATTGGCTATCGAATGTTTCTCGACTCACAGTGGCCAATACTGCTCTTGTCTTTCACGATCGACGGTTATTAGCTACATGCGAATCGGGTCCAACTGTGGCTATTCATGCTCCTCAACTAGATACCATCGATTATCATGTCTTTCCGGATGAAGCGACTGGTAAAAACGGTTTAGGTCAAGCGCCTTTGGTCGTAGGTGCTGAATCTACAGCAGCAGGTCATCCTATCGGTGGTATGCTAGAAGAATGGACAAGTGGTCATCCAAAGGTCGACCCGATCAATGGCGAGCTAGTCTTCATTGGTTGTAATGTTCGTAAACTCTTACTCTTTTGTTCATCGCGATACTTATAAGATTTGTTTTGTTTTCCTCAGATCTTTGCTCGACCTTTTGTTACTCATTCTGTAGTCTCTCATACCGGTCATCATGTCTCTTTCAAAAAACCTATCCATGACGTCATTCAACCCAAGATGATGCATGATTTCGGTGCATCTCATGGTCATACCGTGATTCTTGATTTACCTCTTACGATGGATCCCATCAATTTACTCAAACCAGGTGCCCCACCGATTGTTCACTTTGATCGAACACTTTCTAGTCGATTTGGTGTTTTACCTCGTTATGATCCGACTGCTACTCGATGGTTTACCGCTTCACCCTGTTTGATTCTTCATACTGCTAATACTTGGGATTCGACTAGATCTTCAACTTTACGTGATTTAGGACTTCGATCTAAAGAATCTGAACATGAAAATTATGTTGCAGTCAATATGCTAGCCTGTCGATTTCGAACTGCTAAACTGGTTTACACGGCTGGTGATCTAGAACCTCCTTTGGCCGAACAGACAGATCAAGATATCGTTAGACTTACTTATTATCGATTCAGCTTGAGTGAAGATGATCCGCTTTGGTCTGGTCCAGATTCTATCACTCAACCTTCTCACCTCTTTGCACTTTCAGCTATCCCCTTCGAATTCCCAGTACTTCCTCCGAATAAGTTGATGAGTGAAGTTCAATGGGTTTATGGCTGCTCAATGGCATCGGGTAGTTTTGATGCAGGTCTTCGTGGTGGTGCACGTCCTAATGTTCTAGTGAAGATGAATGTACGTGAATTAATCAAACGTGGTATAAAATCAGTCAAATCAGGCAAAACCGGACCCAAAGATCAAGACGGAATTTTTGAAGTAGACTCAAGAACGATGCCAGACCTACTTAAAAGTGAACCAGACTCATCAATCCGGTTACTAGAATTACCCAAAGGATTTTACTTACAAGAACCGAGTTTTATCCCAAGAAAAGAAGCTACAAGAGAAGATCAAGGATGGTTAGTTTGTTATGTGTTTGATGAAAACCAATTAGAAGAAAACGGACAAGCCTCTTTGAAAGCGTATTCAGAACTATGGGTTTTAGATGCCGAATTGATTGGAGAAGGTAGATCATGGGAAGAAGTTTTGGTTTGTAGAGTTAGATTACCTTCGAGAGTTCCTTATGGATTACATTCTACTTTTCTTAATTCTGAAGAAATCCAAAATCAACGTTCGAACTCAAGATCAAACGTTAGGCTTCATGAGCATGAAAAGAATGGTAAAGTCGTTCTGGCTTCAAGGTTTCAGGAGGGTTTGGTTTGGGTCTTTGGGTTGGTCTTGGTTTGGATTTTTCCGGTTTTTGGACTTGGACTTGGAAGTGGTGAAGATGAATTGGAAGATTTATAAATATCATAAATCTTTATAATCTTAAGTCAAATCTTCTCATCAGATCAATTAATTTTAAAGTCACCATAATGCATGTTTTATGAAGTTGAAGAAGGTGGATCTTTTATGTTGGTTGGTACAGTCGGTTTGAATAAAATGTTTTCTTTTCTTTTGTCATTCTTGTTAAGTTTGTAATCAGTACTTCAAATCAATCCGCATTTCAAATCATCATCATTGCAATTTGTTTATTTGTTTTATCATCTAATCATCGTCTTGCTTGTTTTTTTTTTATTCTGATGTATTTCTAGAAACCAAAATCTGTTAGTTTTAATGATCATTTGTATACTCAATAGCAAATTCTTCTTCTTCTTCTTCTTTTTTGTTGTTGTTTTCTTTATGAATTAATTGATGATTTTTAAAAATAGTATACATGAAATCATTGGATCATGATTGTTCTTTTTGACTGTGATCACATTTTTAAACAGAAAGCATCTAAACTCTTTTCAATAAGTTTTTTCACCTGGAATATAGTTTTTCAAGGAGTTCAGTAGATGTGTGAGTAAAACAACTGATCTAGATGGAAGAAAACAGAAAATATGAATGATAAATACCATGAATTGAGTTAATTTGTATAATAAACATCAAACAAGAAGAAATCTTCAAAGAGTAACAAACAGACATATGGATTTATCCATCATAATTTTTATATCCACCCAGGAGAGATCAAAGAAGGAATTCGAGTCAAGGAAGGATTCCAGACTGTATAGCTTTAAAATGTAATCTTTATAGCCATCAAGTAGAAACAGCATAAGGCAAAGAACTTGTATACCGTGCAGACTACGATAATGGCCACCATTTGCAACCAAACCTAGAACTTGAAGAAGGCATTCTACCCAAAGGTGGAGCCAGTAGCAGCCACTCATACAAATCTTCCCAGCTTTTGATATGTTTGATATTACGAGTATCGGGGCCGATGAATGTGTGACCGACGCGTGAGGACGTCCGAGTGAGGCCGCACGCGGCACGCGACGCTTTATTTATCCTGTGTTATGGCCGAATTCTCATTGAACCTCATTTCTCAACAATCTTTCAATTTCGATATCAAGCTCACTCATTCATCATCTAGATACTCTGACTTCATACCCCAATTTGGCAGATGTAGTAAGCGTCCTTGAGCGTTGCTTCCAATTTATTTGCGTCAATGATTATGATTGATAACAGAAAGACATTTCTTCCTTTCGGATTCACCTCACAGTATCAAACCCAATCGATATGGACATACTTACGAAACTATCATCACAGCAGCAAGAGTGGCCCAAGCCAAAGGAATGTCAACTTGTCCAGTTCTCTTAATCGTTTCAATGGACGTGGACGCTCTATGTGGCTGTAAAATTTTACAATATTTACTGAAACAAGATTCCATCAAGTTTAGAGTGATTCCTGTTCCTGGTTGGAAAGAACTTTCAAAGATCACAGAACAGATTAGAGAAGGTAATAGTGGATATCGTGAAGTGGTTTTGTTTAATTTAGGTGGACAAGTGAACTTGTGGGAATTATTTGATTTACCTCGTGGGGTTAGATTACATGTGATTGATAGTCATCGACCTTATTCTTTGGAAAACTTATTTGAATCTGGTTTTAATCCTGAAGATGATGATCCAAGTCCTCCAGCTGAAATTATCGTGTGGGATGATGATGTGGCGGAAGACGAAATTCAAAACGAAAGAGACGCTTATGAGGCTATACGTTATGTTCCTGATACAGATAGTGAAGGATCGAGTGATGAGAGTGAAGATGAGCTGGGAATCGGGTGTAGACGAAGAGATGATAGTGATGAAGAAGAAGATCTGGACGAAGAGGATGTAGGGTCAGATGGTGAAGTCAGACCGGGCGGACGGAAGAGGAAGAAAAAGTCAGAAGAAGATCAAGTTTTAACTAAACGACAACGTCATAAGTATCGAGCTCGGATTCGAAAATATTATGAAAGTGGTGTCCATTTTGGACAATCAGTTGCTTGTCAACTTTATCTTTTAGCCACTTTGAGGGGTTGTGAAGATAATGACTTGCTTTGGTATGTATTAGTCTTCCAGTTTCGTTTTTCTTGTAAAGCTATCCTCTAATATTGATATATTTACGATCAACCGCTCTCGCTCTCACAGGCTAGGGATTATCGGTCTTACCTATCAATTCACATCTTCTTTAATTGATCGAGAAAGTTACGATGCTCAAGCCACACTCTTTCAACGCGAAGTCGACAGGATCAATATCATTTCTGAAGAACCTGCCGATCCTCAAGCATGTCAAGTCAAACTTTCAGGTCCTGATGATCGAAATATTAGAAACTCTGAGGAACTTCGGTTTATGCTCTTTAGACATTGGAATCTGTATGATTCGATGTTTCATAGTGGTTATGTTGCTGGTAAACTTAAATTGTGGCGCGAAAGAGGAAGAAAAAACTTGCAAGGGATGTTTGCTAAGATGGGGTAAGCTTATTTCTAAGTGATTTGACCTCCTACTTCCTCATACCGAATCTTCAAATGTTTTGAAGCTGATCCTTTTTCTGCGTCTCAGTTACTCTTTATCTCAATGTCAACAGAGCTATGCACATATGGATATGGATCTCAAACGTACATTGCGATCAAAGGTGGAATCTATCGCACCCGAGTATGGTTTATTCGATCTCTCCTTTGCATCATTTGTGCGAGCCTATGGGTACCAGTCAGTGCTTTCGGCTAGCGATTGTGTTGAATCGATCAATGCGGTCCTCGAAGTGGCTACCGGAGTGAAGCTTGATTTCCATGCACTTCATGGTGGAAATGGAATGAGTAGTGTAGATGATGGAGGTCAGGGTGGTACTTTTTGGGATGCTGGTAAAGGAGTTAAACGATGGACAGAGGTGTCAAATGAAGCGGTGAAAATTTCAGATAAAGAAAACACTCGGCCTGATTCATTGGAGGCAAGTGAAAATGCTGCGAAGACAAATGCCGCGAAGAAACCTAAGGAAGATGCCTGGTGGGTAGAGAACTTTTGGATGGCATCTGATGCACTATCAACAGAGTAAGTTGATTGATTTTTTTCTCTCTCGACTTTTAGTTTTCAATAACTTAACGCTAATCATTTTTCGAAAATGATATAGCCCTACATTCCTTAAATCAGCCTTACCTCTCAGTATGGCCCTTCAAAAATCCATCATACGACAAGGAACCTCAATGTTAGACAAACAAGCGATCAAAACCCTACGATCCTTTAGACTAGGAGTGATTAAAGATGGACCTGATCTACATGTCTTTAGTCATCCAGCCACACTGACTAGATTAGGTGTTTGGTTAGTAGATGCAGTAAGAGATTTGATTAGTGGATCGAATGGAAAAAGTACAGATCAAAGCTCGAGTAAGAAAAAACCAAAAAGCTTTCCATTTGTGATTGCAAGTTTAGACGAAATTAGAGATTGTTATTTAGTAGTCGGTGTTAATGGTGCAGCTCAATATGGTGATGTTAGAAGAAAGTAAGTTTTTTTTCTCTCTTTCTCTCTCTTAATCATGATGATCAATTTGTTATAAATCAAAAAAAGGTTTACTAATTTTTTTTTGGTATTGATGTGATTGGCAAAATATAGTAAATTCGGGATGGCATTTCAAGAAGCAGCTCAAATTTCTGGTGCTAGAGCTAGACATGATAGGTTTGAAGAAAGTGTAATTGAAGTTAGAAAAGATGATTTAATGAGTTTTGTACAAAAATTACATCTTGGTCTTTAACCCCCCCAAAAAAAAAGTTTCTCTCTTCTCTCTTTGATCATCTTTGTTTTTTAATTTAGGTTTGCTTTTTTCGTTCCTTTTCTGGTGTGTGTTTGTGTTTGTGTGTGTGGGGGGGAGTTGGAATGGAGTCTTGGTTTTCGGTTTGTGGAAGTATATAAATTTTTATATATAGATTGATTAACTTGTATTAGTAATATGATTGAAATTGGATTTGGCATTTGTATACCCATCATCAGCTAATTAGTAATAACTTCTTTTCATGCAAAGGGTTTTTTTCTTTATGCATTACATTTATTTTATTTCTAGAAGTTTTCATTTGCATTGTTTTGTGTTGCTTTGTCTGATTGATTGAGAATATATACAAAGTTGAATGATTTGAAGTTCAATGTTCATCTTCACTCTTGAGCTTGAATAAACAAAGCCTTTGTTTAAATACAAGCCAATACGTGTTGTGGAAGCGAGGGATCTGGTGATGCGCCCGGAAAGAGCAATCTTGCTCCAATCCACCAGCCCGTAGCAGGTTACTTTGCGTAAAGTTATTCCTTACGATAAGACTTTTGTGGAAGGCATCGGTATCGGAATCGTCCTTGACTTTTCATACCGAGACTACGGAACACCTGCGACATAAATCATGGACCAGGCTCTCTTCCAAGGTCTGCTTGCTGAGACCTAGGAGAGAGACATGTAAGTTGATGCGGACCATAGCCAGTGAAGGCTTGGATGTCTTCACAAGGAAATGTTACATATCTGCAAACCGCCCATATGAACTTTTGGTCCTGGCATTCGAATTCAGCAACACCTGACCATGAACATTTTGTCTGTTTGTGCGCGTGCACTGTTTTGGAAAAATAACATGAGCACTCGAGGGTTCAGTTGGCCGCGCAGAAATTCATTGTAGCCAGTTCACATTAGAATTTTCACATTTGATTAGGGCATCGTAACCGTCCCGCTGAAGTGACATGCGAATAACGCCAAGGTCCTGATAATTGTGATCAGAGTGAGTCAAACTGCCTGCTAATGCATCGTCACCAGGCGTCACCTGTGATCATGCTGCCCTGACTGCAACTTCATGACGATCCCATCGAAAGATAGCACATGCCGATATTGTTGATGAACTGATGAATTCCCGTTCATAAGTAAAACTGAGAGAATCCATCTCATCTTTTGAGAGCCTTCCACCCTTCCCCTTCGTCGTATTTTCAGACTTTTAAATTTCCTAGGCATTCAACCATCAGGTTGTCAACTTATCTATTCATTGCAACCGATCGTTGCATTCATTCGGCTGAATCTTTCTGGTCATCATGAGTTACGTGTCGCCACCCCGGCTGCCCGGCATCATCGACAAAACTGGACAAATCACCGTAGATTCACCCGTGCCTGACTTCTATGAACGTGTTCGGCAAGAAAGTTTAGAGGACTCTGTCGATTCGGCAAATACCTCGTTTAGTTCTTATTCCGGTATTTCAGAAGAATGTTTAACACCTTTAATCCCTTCGGAAGAAAATCCACATAAATCTCATTATAGTCACGATGGAAGTGAGATCTTACTCGATTCCAGAAAACCTTTGGGTGAAATTTGCTTAAATGCAATTCAAATCGATCCAAGTCTTCCTATCAGCGTCCCGCCAAGAAAACTTTCTGACCCATTTGCTTGGTCTCCTAACCAAGCCATCCAAATACTCCAACCGTCCCCGGATTCGAGCAATAAGAACAGTGTCCCGAGTATTGATGATCTATTAGAAACTAAAGTACAGTCAAGACCAATTAATAGGTTAAGGTCAGGTAGTGAGAGTAAAGCTCAAAGTCTTCAACCAGTCGAAATCAAATGTACGGACGGTCAGAAGATCTTAACTATTTGTCCTTCTCTCTTCACCGTCAAAGAAGGTTTAACGGACAAGTCTGAGGTGGAGAAAACGGCACCGAATGGATTTGAATGGAGACAGGTTCAAGAGTTGAATGAAGAAAATCTTCGACGTCTCAATGAGCTACTTGAAAGTGAAGAACACGGCGACTCTCTAGGCTCTTCATTCATCAAGCTAGAACAAGGAGACGCGGAAAGTGCTAAGTTTTTGGATAGTGATGATGATGAGGATGATCATGTGTTGATTAATGGACGATCCAGGCATACTGAAAGCGGCGCCCCTCGAGATTGCAGCACTAACCTCAGCATCGTACCCACTATAGCTAGCCCACCCAGTTTTATTCACTCGCCATTTGTGAACGACTCGACAGACATTGCCGAATCAGTTTCTCCAAAAGGTTCGAAAGTGGCATCAGATCGTTTTTTGAAAGTTGATTCCTCGTCCAAGAAAGTCTCTACGTTTTTCGACCATGACGTCGTTTTACCACTCCCATCAAATGATCCAACTCTCAAGTCTAACAAAACTACGCGCGATCCAAAAGTAGTCAAGTCTGGTGTGAACATCTCATTGGAGCGCTTGAGTACAATGCTTCTTAAACAGAGGAAGGTGGATTTTGAGTATGATGATACTGAATCTTTCCTCAGTCAAGATAGTCCGCCTGAAAACTCTGCTGAAGAGGTTTCTACTGACGAGGGCAACAAATCTAAAAGGGGCAAGTCAAGGAGGAAGGTGGGGAAAGTAAGATGTACATTATCAAAAGACGAGCGAATGTTAGGAATCAGATGGCTTCATCTCGTGTGTAGATATTTCTTTTTCCTTCTAGTCAGCGTTCTTCGTATTCTGATGTAGCAGTATACTGACAGTCGGCCTGTATTGACATCCTTTCTAGGTTGACACCAGCACCACGACTAATCCCAACATCACTCCAGAAGTTCGATACCATGCCAGCATTCTTTTCTCGCTTTACTGGGGTTCTAGAACTGGCAACTCAAGTCCTGATCAGTCAAAGAGTACAGAGGATTCAGACGTACCACTGAAAGAAGGTCGTCACTCACAATCAAAGAAAAAGGAAAACGTTGAGACTTCACGAGAAAAAAGAAAGAAGAGTAAATTGATTGCTGCTACCGCAATGGCATCTCTTACATTGGCCACCAAGGTATGTTGTTCTGCTTCCGTACCTATCTTTTTTGTACATTACTCATCCGTATTCTTATCGCGTGATCTTTGAACAACAGTGGCATTTTGATTTTTGCAAGCCGCTCTTCACTGTACAGCTCAAAAGCTTTTGTCAGACGACGAACTTTGGCTCGTTCAAAGTAACTCCGGAGAATCTGATTGTGATTATTAATCCTTTTTCTCTTTAATTGCTTCTCCAGTTCTTCTTCGAGCCACAATCACTGACTGAAATCTCCTTGAATTTAAACTAGATGGCAGAAAGAGCTATTCTATTTTCTTACCCAGTAGCCGGTGGATTATGGCTCGATTGTCCACACGCATTTCTCGAAGAACTTATCAATGTGGTTCCAACGTTGAACATACTCAGTTCAATTCCTGAATATATCCTTCGAAAGAATTATTATAATGTGGGACAAAGTTTAAGATATTATGATGAACAGAAGAATGTGAAGGAGATTGATTCGGATGGAGTTTGGGATTGGCCTGATGTGATGCATGAGTTTGATTTGGCTTTGGAAAAAGTAACAACAGGTGAGTAGTAATGTATAAAGGATTGAATTTGATTTGAACAAATCATATCAAAACAGAAGACTGACGAGTTTGATTTCGAACAACTTGATATCGTTCTAGTCCAAGAATTCCTTGCCTTTAATCCGGCAGTATTTTGCGTGATCGCATTATACTTAGCTTTAGTAGAAGTCGAACCTGGATATTATGAAAAGAAACAAGATTCACGAAAGAAGAAGGATGAGTTATTAGATACATCGAAAGATATCACAGATGAAACGATTATGACCTCTGAAAATATTCAAGATACGTTAAAGAAGTTATTGATTGAAGAAGAACATTCGGAGTTATGGGTATGGAAGTTTATTGATGTGAATGATACCATGAACCAAGTCTGTGAAGCATTAAGAGTCTCTGCTGTAAGTCTTTTTGGAGCCTCCTTACACCTCGAGTGCTTTGATTACAAGCAAACAAGCTGATTCTCATCATTCTTCTTCTTTGCTGCCTGTTTGGATGGATTCATAGAGGGACGTCGAGGAATGTCTTAATTGGTATTCGGAAGTTGGATTCGCTAACATCCATTTCCCTTGATCTTCTGTGGTACAACCTTTAACAGGCCTACTTTTCATATTCTGTTATTTTGCCTGACTAGCTCTTTATTTTTTGTTTTCTTATCATTCTCTTTACTATTTAAAAAATTTAAACCATCCATCATTTGTAAATCTCACTGATCTTCTTGATTTTCACTTTTCTGTTCTTTTCTGTTTCTCTTTCACTTTCTCGCTTTTTCACTTTTTCACTTTTTCACATATTCGATTTTTCACTTCTTCACTTCTTCACGTTTTCGATTTTTCAATTCATCACGTTTTCGATTCTACGCCTTCTCTCTCTATCTCTTTGGATGTTTCTTTTATTTTGATTCCCTTTCTTTTTCCGATGGTTTTATACTTTTTAACTTTTCTTATCTTAGTATTTTTTTGTGAAATGTATCTTGGGTTCGTGAGATGTTATTCACTGGATTTTGACCAATGCTTCTTTTTCACAACTCGTTGTGCTTCTTAACACACGATGGTTTATCAGGAAGCTGAACAGAAGTAGACCAGCTAAAAGCAGTGCGCTTTATGCAGAATTTGTAATCAAATCATCAGGTACATAATCTTAACATCTCTTTCACTTGTAGGTAGACTTGTTTCGCAGAGTAGTAACCACCAAATAGATGTGAACCCCAAATGCATGATATCATCTTTACAAAACTCTGAATGGATTGCCTCAATTTCAAACTTCAAAGTGTCAGATATAAACAAATAAATTGCATTGAGCCAGAGTTTGCAAACACTGCCAGTGTGAGATCAGGGTCGTTGAAATCGGCATTGTTATGTTACCGATCGCTTTAGGTCACCTTAATTTAGTCATTTAAGCTGTCAAACAAAACTAAAATTGTTAAAATGAGATTAAACTGGTGACCTCACTGAACTAATTTGAAGGTTTTGAACGAATTGAAGTTCTTCTTGACCACTCTATCATTGACTCATTAGCACTGCAGATGGTCAATCAAAAGAAATCAAGACTATCAACTACATCGAAGAAAAACTTATCAGGCTCCAAGTATCATCCATCAACTACCTTCAACCTCAAAAACTAAACCAACACAGAGTGTTCGAACAAGGAACTGATAAGGTCAGCAACTTATCGATCGATCGAAGGCAAACAGGTATGTACTTAAGATATCCTAGCTAAAAAAACCTTTATAAACCCATTTGATACTATCTCATCAAAACCCATTGACCACCATCCACCAATTATCACCACCAAGTTCCAACATCACCAAAACTAACATCAACACCGTCATCATCATCACCAAAACCACTTCACTGACACCGCTTGACCTTGACCATCAAACCAAATTCATATTTCAACATTAAGAACTAAAATAGAAATCAAGACCAAGGTATGTCATTCTACTTGACTTTGTTTTCCGTCCAACAACCCATCAACCTGATTGACTGACTCCAGCCGCCACCAACGAGATTCTTACTAATCCTTGCTGACCATTTGTTTTGATCTCCTTTTCATCTGTATAAATCAATCAGTCTTCCCCGTATCGATCCACATATTATCAACCCCCTTCTCAATCCAAGCAGTTCAACTATCACCAACTGTTTGTCTTGTGCACTCAACTTGGTTGGACGCATCCACACAATCATCTCATTCATAGATCATGGTCAGTGGTTTGTTCTGGCTTTCTCCTTTCCGATTCACATTTGAGTCAGTTGCTCCATCATCGGATCACTCACCTACAACCACACGCGATGATCGAGCTCAGTCCGTTCATCTCATACAATCTCGATCATTTTCACGCACCACAATATAAGCCTTGGCTCTCAGGTCACCTTTTTATATAGGCGTTTGTCAACTCGTCGATTGAATATTGAACGTCCAAGCTATCTTTTCAACTCGCACTCACTCAAAACGCTCTTTCCAAGAAATATCCTCACACAAGCTCATCCAGCATCCGTTTATCACATCCTTACTGATCTCATATTTCATCTTACCCTTCTCCTCAAATTCTCAACATCCTTATCGAATCGCCTCATCAGGACCCACTCGAAGGACCGTCGACGATCGTACAAGATTCAATGGCTTCTCCAACTCTAGAGGTCGAAACAGTCTCAGTAGACGATCGTACGTTTTTATCTGGTTGAAACTTGTCTAAAATCAATACAAGTAACATTTTCCTCTCTTTTATCAACAATAGCCGAAGCTTTTGCGGCTAAGCATTTGACCGAACTTGGCTATCCGGTTGAGGACTTCAAGAAACATAGCTGGAAGATACCAAACTATCGGAAGCTACCTAAACGAACCACCAGTGAAACTTTCACAGCCGGTGGTCATGAGTGGTTTGTAACATTCCCCTCACATTGTATCTCCTTTCCCTTTCCTAAGCTAGCCCAACGACATGAAATGACCCTCTATCGGTCCAAACGCTTGACAAGATCAATATTAGTGATCCCTTGACCGTGAACCTCTTAACTGATATATTCTCCCTTCAATCAAACATATTAATCTGTACAGGAACATACTTCTCTTTCCACAAGGTAATTCGAACGGCCAGGCAAATGATATGGTGTCAATTTATCTCAACTATGGTGATCCCAAAAAACAGCCCGAGGGATGGCACGTCTGTGCGCAGTTTGCATTGGCCATCTCAAATCCTCATGATGGCACCTGTTATATCCAATCTCGTAAGCTCACCACATTGATCAAGTGTCCGGATCGATTCTTGTTCCGCTGAGACATTCGTGATTTCACCTTGCGATTCTAGAGGCACAGCATAGATTCACTAATGAAGAACAAGATTGGGGATTCACGAGATTTGTTGAGCTTCGCAAATTGTTTGGTCCTGCGGATTCTCGGGTGAAGCCAATCATTGAAAACGACGAGACTGTGATCACTGCCTATGTCAGGGTACTCAAAGATGAGACGGGTGTGCTGTGGCATAACTTTATCAAGTCAGTATCTCAAAAGTCGTTTGACTGATGGCCTGCGAAAGACAACAGAGTATTAAGTTGATACCCTGTGATATCTAGCTACGATTCGAAGAAAGAGACTGGCTACGTGGGGTTGAAAAATCAAGGCGCCACATGTTATATGAACTCTTTGCTTCAGTCCCTTTTCCTGACAAATTACTTCCGAAAGGTACGTGTTCTTGCAAGACCTAGCAGAAATTCGAGAGATCTCATATACATGCAAATGAACACATTTTACAGGCAGTGTATCAAATTCCTACCGAAAATGACGGTGTAGACTCGGTTCCTCTGGCCCTCCAACGAGTCTTTTATCAACTTCAAACTTCAGATCAGCCTGTTGGTACAACAGAGTTGACGAGATCGTTCGGTTGGAAATCTCTTGACGCGTTTTTGCAGCATGATGTACAAGAATTTTCACGTGTTTTACAAGATAAACTTGAGAGCAAGATGAAGGGTACCCCAGCAGACGGAGCAATCCAACATCTCTTTGCTGGAAAGTACAAAACTTACCTTAAGTGTATCAATGTCGATTATGAAAGTAGCAGGGAGGAAAGCTTTTTAGGTAAGGACTTCCACATAGGTTTGTTAGCTTGAGCACTGATGAACGAATTTGAGAATTACAGATATTCAGCTCGATATTAAAGATCTGCAAGGTCGACCATTCAAGAATCTGCAGGAATCATTCGAAGCCTACGTGACACCTGAGATGATGGACGGCGATAATAAATATCACGCAGGTGACGATTTTGGACTTCAAGATGCAAAGAAAGGAACGATCTTCATGGAATTCCCACCCGTGCTTCACTTACATCTCAAGCGCTTCGAGTATGACTTCCAGCGTGACTTACAAGTCAAAGTTAGTATTCCTTTGACCGTCTTATCATCGTTGCCGCTACGTGGGTGTGATTCGAGAAACGCTCAGCTGATTATTGGGTGTTTTTCCTGACTGACTTAGATTAATGATCGACACGAGTTCCCCTTACAACTGGACCTAGCACCTTATCTCGACGACTCGGCAGACAAGACTAACAACTGGCGATATCGCTTACACGGGGTTCTGGTCCATTCAGGAGATGTCCATGGCGGGCATTACTTTGTACTCATCAAACCTCATCCCGAATCAAAATGGTATAAATTTGACGATGATCGAGTAACACCGGTGACTGACAAGGAAGTCCTTGAAGATAACTTTGGTGGCGAACAGTTCATCAATGGTACCCCGGTAGTGAACGGAGGCGGGAAAAATGGTGGAAAAGGTACTGGAGTCAAAAGATTCACCAACGCTTACATGTTGGTCTATGTGAGAGAATCGGCTGCTGCTGATATACTGGCACCTATCAGCCAAGCCGATACACCAACACACTTAAGTGAGTGATGCTCCTCTCCATTTTCTTAGTAACGAGTGTCACTTTCGGGCAATTTTGCTTACTCCCATCTCATATGTAGAATCAAGGCTCGAGAAAGAGCAGCGAGAACAGGACAAGAAGAAGCGAGAAAAGGAGGAGATGCATCTTTATTTGACTGTCAAAGTAGGTCTTCATACAGATTGTTTTTAGACCAACGTGATACTTTGTTAATTCAAGGACATTCAACTACCAAAATCGTAGATCATCACAGATGAAACCTTCCGAGCCCATGAGGGATTCGACTTGGCATTATTTGATGACCGGACCATGCCACCATCTGAGCTTCCTACGTTCAGAGTCGCCAAACAACAACCTTTCCTAGATTTCAAATCGAAACTTGCACAAGATCTTGGATACCAGCCTCATCAGATTCGACTGTGGGTCTTGGTGAATCGTCAAAACAAGACTGTAAGACCTGATACAGTGGTGTCAGAGAGCGATCCGACATTGAGTTGAGTTCACGCATTGTTTGAGGACTGGGACAAAAACCTCACATGTACTGATTTTCTCTTGTCATTCGGCTTTGATAGCTATGGAAGTAGTTCGAGACAAGATGGCATCCAAGGCACACGACTTGAAATTATATCTAGAAGTTCTTGACCCGACTCCAGACGGTTTGACTCCATCTGATCCCAAAGATTCGCCCCTGATGATTTTTGTCAAGTATTTCGATGTCACGGGTCAAACTCTGGCAGGTGTTGGGCATTTCTATGTTTATCGAAATCAAAAAGTGGGGGATGTCATTCCAGCCATAAATAGGAGGATGAACTTTCCCGAAAATACACCATTGAAGCTTTATGAGGTTTGTCCTTAGTTCTTCGTTAGCCGTGATTTATTTGTGAAATTAACACAGTGTGCTTTTGCTACAGGAAATCAAACCGGGGATGATTGATCCGATGAAACCCAAGGCCACGTTTCTTCAGAGTGAGATTCAAGATGGAGACATAATTTGTTTTCAAATCGAGCTCTCGGACAAAGAGTAAGTTGCAGATTCGATCTCGCGAACGCATTCAATCCGTCATCTCTTCACTCATCTTTCATTTTCCACAGGCATTTGGACCTTGAGAAACAGCAACACTACGTCAACCCCCCTCAATTCTACGATTTCTTCACAAATCGAGTATTGGTTCAATTCAAACCTCGATACGATGATATGACATCAAGTGCCGAGTTTGATCTGCTGTTGTCAAAGAAAATGACGTACGATGTGATGGCATCAAGGGTCGGGGAAAAATTGAATCATGATCCAATGAAGTTGAGGTTTACCAACAGTCATCAAGGCAATCCCAAGACAGTAATTAGACGAGCGTCTGCACAAGGCACGGTGGCCGATATGATTCAAAGCTCTTACACCAATGCACCTAGCAATGTATTGTTCTATGAGTTGTTGGAGATGAGTATTGCAGAGATTGAGACTAAGCGGAACGTTAAAGTTACATGGACTGGCGCGCACAATCGTGATGAGGTGGGTGTTTCCTCTCTTTAAGACCTGAAGTAAAGAGGAGTTGGTTGATTCGGATCTGTGGATTTGACAAAACAGGGGCAACATTCATTCTTGATGCCCAAGACATCATCCATGCATGACGTAGCTGACAAACTATCAACGCTAGTCAAGTTTTCAGAAAATTCAACTGGCAAGATTAAATTATTCACAATTCATGAAGGTCGGATCCAGAAGATCTTTGCAGGGGGTGAGATCCTTAGAGATGTGAACGATGTGGAGGATATTTATGCAGAAGAAGTTCAAATAGAAGAAATCGTTGGTAATGAAGATAATGGCAATGGACTTACGGACAGTGGTGGTGCGGGTAATGGGGGTGGCAAGTTGATTGATGTTTATCATTTCCAAAAAGAACAAACTCGTCACCATGGGATCCCCTTCAAATTTTTAATCAAACCTGTTCGTAATCTCCTTTTCTCCCCTCTTCCTTTTTGATACTGATATTGTTGTGTCATAGGGAGAGATCTTTACCGATACGAAAGAAAGATTAAGGATCAGATTAGGAATCAATGAAAAAGAGATCAACAAGATGAAATTTTCGATTGCACAATTTAACACGTATACGAAACCTAGTTATATCTTGGACAGTGATGTAATCTTTGATCATAAATGGTCTAAAGGAGATTTACTTGGTATAGATCATTTAGATAGGAGTAGAAAAGCAGTCGGATTAGAGAAGGCAGTTTATATTAAATAATTCGTTTTCTTTTGATGATTGTTTTCATTTTGATTTGATTCTTCCTGATGTCTACTCTCTCTGTCTTCTATCTGAATGCTCTTCTCCGTTTATTTTATGTGATTTGGTTTGATTGTCTCACTTGATGCGAAACTTTTCTTTATTCTTTTTTTTGTGATTGTTGTGTATCTTCAAAAAGAAAAAAAAGTAACTTTTTTTTATTGTTTTTTTTTTTCGTCCAATTTGTTTTTTTTTGTTGATTGTTTGGTTTCTTTATGTGTCTGTGTGTGGGTGGGTGGGTGTGTGGTGATTGTCGTTTTTTTTTAAACAGAAGAGGGTTAAGTGCAACTGAAAAGAGAAGAAGGGAAAATGAACAAAAAATAATGGAGTGTTTCTTCTTCGATGATTTTTATTTATTTGGGTTTAGATGGTGGAAAAGGTGGAAGGAAAGGGATTGGTAACCAAAGTTTAAAGATTTTAGGTTTGCTGGGTTAGTATATGCATAGTATATATAAAAATTAAATCTAGATGCTCTGTTGCAAGTTTGCATACGAGTAAAACTGTGTTTTTGAATCTTGAGGTGATTGAACTCAAGGAAAAAAGAGTTGAATTTTATGGAAGCTCTAATTGAGATATCTTGTTTGAATAGGTAACTTGATAATATCTATCTGAATTTCTCAAAAGAAAAAGAAAATTGGTCTCAATGTGAGTTGATAGAACTTTTGATCAGCCCTCAGGCTCACTGATACATACAACATTTTGTAAGGTATTCAAAGGATCAAACTCATCAAAGCAGTAAGGTATTACTATGGGTTGAAATTCAATCTGGTATTAAAAGATAAAGTAAGAAGTCATTGTGTCATAGAGTTTAAGAAGATAAAGATGGATAATTGGTCCATGAGATGAGTCTTTGTAAGATATTAGTTGAGTGTTGCATGAAGAAAATTGAATGTGATCTATATAAGAGCTTCTTCTCTAATACTCCTACATATCAGGATTAACTTCAAGGTATTATTGTGGTACAAATTTCTACCTCAACATCTTATGTCAACAGTTTTTCAAGTTTTGAAAAATCAGAATCAACATACTTTCTAGGTATTTGTACAAAATGGCAATGCCAATAGACATAAAAATTGTCTCTTAGGGTCTATTTAAATATAAGTATCCTCAAGATACAAGACTAATTTGAGAGGAAGTGGTTTAAGATAATTTCTGGGTATCATTCCAATCATCTAGCTTTTGACACTTGGTTCAAAGGGAACTGTTTTGAAGATCAAGTATAAATCAGAGGAAAGAACAACTTGAAAGTCAAAGAAAGGTGGGGTTAACTTCAAGTATGATAGACCAGTACATATTTCAAAACATGCTCAAAGCTTCCAAAGGTATGCTTTCTGTGATAAATTGGTTTTGTTGATGTGGACCTTACCTGTAGAATTCATCTGTCTCCTCCAGGAACCAAAGATCCCCAGAATAATCAACTCTATGTACCCGCTGATCAAACATCAATGGCGGGTTCTTGAAGCGTGCCCATGTGGCATGAATAAAAGGTGAGCTCGGACCGAATCCGTAGATGTGCATATGTAATTATTCCAGTGGTTGCCTTGGTATGTATTAGGTAAGTTGACTTGTAACTAGGTTTCTGCCCTGTATCGGAAATACAGGTCGTTGCAAATTTTCATTCACCCACCAACTGAACTCAATCAAGAGTGGTCTCTTCTCTCTCTCTTTCACCCTCTCCTTCAGATCGCTACCTCAACCATTCCTCCTTCCCTTCTTACTCTACAGATAGACTGCATTAGATTATCATAACACCACATTCATAATGGCATCAGCCGTACCTACCCCCGCTCGAGTTAACCCTGAAGACATCCCAGGCAGTCACGCTGCTGCTGCTGCTCAAGCCGATGGTTCCAAGGCTGAAGCCAAGGTCAGACTCTTCTTTCTCCTTTTCTTTTAAATTCGGGTCAACCTTTTCCTGTTTTTCCTTTTCCTGTTTTTCCTCTTGATTCGATCTCTTACATCAGTTTTTTTACCTTATCTTCACCGTAGATGGACATCAACGTCCTTCTCACCAACACTGACAAAGCTGCCCGCGACAGCGCTGCAAGCGAGTTAGTTAACATTGTCAAAGTAAGTCATCATGGTCTCATCAAAATTATTTCTTGTCCGACTTTATTTTGACTTCAAAAACTTTTCTAGATCGAAGGTCCCCAGGCTTTTGTTCGTCTCGGTCTTTCTGACGCGATCGTCAAAGGTTTGACCGACAAGAAAAACGCCACCGCTCGTGAGGGTGCCTGCACACTTTTGAGCAGTTTGTGCGAAGCTGGCGTTGGTCATGCTGTCGAACCGTTCGTTTTCACTCACAGCGACTCGGTGGTACTTAACGAGCTTTTGGAGGTTCTCGGTGACAAACTTCCGGTCGTCCGTGATTCTGCCCTCGCCGCTCTCAAGAGCCTCGTCAAGATCATGACCCCATGGGCCTTGCACTTGATTCTCCCCGTCTTACTCACTCAAATCGCCAATGCCGGTAAATGGCAAGTCAAGACTGGTGCTCTCGAAATCTTGGACGAGCTTGTCGTCAGTTCTGCCGATCAAATGTCCAAAGCAATGCCCGACATCGTACCTGTTTTGGCTGCTGCCATCTGGGATACGAAAGCCGATGTCAAAAAGGCAGCTCGTGCCTCTTTGACTAGGGCTTGTGCTGTTAGTATTTGCTCCTCTCTTTGTATCCTCCAGTTTTAGCCTCAAGACTGACTCTTTGTTTTACACCCTTCCTCAGTTGGTATCGAACAAGGATATCGAAAAATTCATTCCTGCTTTGATCTCTGCTTTGATCAACCCGGTCGAAGAAGTACCAAAGTGTATCCAGCTGTTAGCTGCTACCACTTTCGTATCCGAAGTCGATGCACCAACGCTTTCTCTCATGGTACCTCTTCTTACAAGAGGATGTAACGAGCGACCTACACCTACCAAGCGTAAAGTCGCCGTGATCACGGACAACATGGCCAAACTTGTCGACTCGGAGGTCACTGTCCGACCCTTCATTCCCCAACTCCTTCCCGCCCTCATGAAGATGGCCGATGTCACCGGTGATCCTGAAGCGCGTGGTGTTGTCAACAAAGCCATCGCAACCGTCCGTGAGGTCGGAAAAGTCCCAGCCGACTCTGATGGAACCAACATGCCGCCTTTCAAGAAGCACTCTCCTGCTGACACGGCTAAGGCATTTGTCGCATCCATCAAGAAGGCCGGTGGTAGCAGCCAACGGGCCGCCACCAGCACAGACTCTCCCCTTGTCATCTTTATCTCTGAGATCGGAGCTGCGCTAGTGAACGCTCGTAACTACGAGCTCACCGAGTGGGAGTCCGCCCTTGTCCCATATGTCACCTTGGCCTTCGATCCTACAATTGCCGTTCAGAAAGCTCCAGGTGTCGTACGAGAAGTGCTCGAGCAAAGTGCCAAGGAAGAAGGTGACGTCGTTGAAGTATTTGAAGATGAAGAAGAGGGCGAGGACTTGTGTAACTGTACCTTCTCTCTTGCTTACGGAGCCAAGATTCTTCTCAACACCGCCACTTTACGATTGAAGCGAGGTCACCGTTATGGGCTTTGTGGAAGAAACGGTTCTGGCAAATCTACTCTCATGGTATGTTTTGTATCTTTATACTCTTTCACACCTGGCACTGATGAATGCTATCCGCCCTCTGTGTTCACTAGCGTGCCATCCACAACGGACAAGTTGAAGGCTTTCCGTCCCCCGATGAAGTTCGAACATTCTACGTTGAACACGATATTGACGGATCCGAGGCCGAGATTGCAATCATTGATTGGATAGACTCTGACACCCGTATCCAAGCCACTCGAGACGAGAAATCCAAGGCGCTAGCTGAGGTCGGTTTCTCTCCGGACCGACAAGGACATGCCATCGGATCACTCTCTGGTGGTTGGAAGATGAAACTTGCTCTTGCCCGAGCAATTCTTTTCAAGGCCGATATCTTGCTGCTTGATGAGCCTACCAACCATTTGGATGTGCTCAACGTTCAATGGCTGATGGACTACTTGAAGTCTCTTGAGACTTGTACCTCGATCATCGTCTCTCACGACTCAGGCTTCTTGGACAATGTTTGTACCGACATCATTCACTTGAACCGATTCAAGATCAAACGTTATCCTGGTAACTTGCAAGCCTTTGTTCAACGTGTACCGGAGGCCAAGGCCTATTACGAACTCTCAGCTCTTGAAGAATATCAATTCAAGTTCCCTGACCCACCTTTCTTAGATGGTGTCAAGACCAAGGAAAAGGCGCTGATGAAGATGAGGAAAGTCGGATTCCAATACCCTGGCTCTCCTGCTCAACAATTGTACGATGTTACCCTGCAAGTCTCCCTCAGTTCGCGTGTCGCCGTCTTGGGTCCCAATGGAGCTGGTAAATCTACCTTGGTGAAGTTATTGATTGGTCAACTCGAACCGAACAAGGGTGGTGATGTATGGAAGCATCCTAACTTGGTCATTGGATACGTTGCCCAACATGCTTTCCGTGAGTTTCTCGATCTCTCGTGACGTGTCTCTGCACACCTTCTGAATCGTATTTCTATCATCCAGACCACATCGATAACCATCTAGACGACACCCCGCTCCAGTACCTCCTCAACCGATACCAAACTGGAGAAGATATCGAGGAATTGCAAGCTGCCAACCGACAGTTGACTGCAGAGGAAGAGAAGAAGATGAAGGAAGGTGGAGTAGTGGTAGTCGAAGGCCAAAAACGATTCATCGAAGACATTACCAACCGAAAGAAATTGAAACAATCCTTCGAGTATGAATGTTCTTTCAAAGGCTTGTCCTCATCAGAGAACATCTGGCTTGCAAGAGATGAGTTGATCAAGAGAGGTTTCGAGAAGAAGATTATTGAAGTTGATAGTCGTGAAGCTCAAAAGGCTGGATTATTGAGACCCTTGGTCCGAAAGGAAATTGAAAACCACATGTCTATGTTTGGTCTTGAGGCTGAGTTTGTTACTCACAACGTTAGTATTCCTATCTTTATCCTTGAATGTCTTACTTTAGCTAACTTTGATACGCCTGTAGACAATGCGTGGTCTGTCTGGAGGTCAAAAAGTCAAGGTTGTGTTAGCTGCTGCTACATGGCGACGACCTCATGTGGTGATCTTGGACGAACCTACCAATTATCTTGATCGAGAGTCGCTCGCCGCGTTGATCGAGTCATTGAAGACATTTGAAGGTGGTGTCTTGGTGATCACTCACAACGTAAGTTATCCTCTTCCGTCTTTGATTTCATATACACTAACAGAGCCCTGTTTATTTCCGTCTTCAGCGAGAATTCTCGGAATCGATCTGTTCTGAAGTATGGGCAATGAGAGATGGTTACCTTGAAGCCTCTGGTCACAACTGGACCGAAGGACAAGGATCAGGTCCAAGAATCGATAAAGGCAAAGAAGATGAGGAAGATCACTTTGATGCCTTGGGTAACAAGATTGATGCTCCAAAGAAAGCCAAGAAATTGACTTCTAAAGATGAGCGAAAGAAGAAGAAAGAGAGGATGGCCAGAAAGAAAGCTGGAATCGAAAGTGATGAAGAGGATGTAGGTTTTTAGTCTTGCTTTACATTTAGGTAACCAGTGATATCAAATACTAATGTGGATTGGCTTTCTTTGACAGCTTTGAGACCAAAACGGCTGTGAAAAGGGGGAGTTATATCTAGCTCACCCTGTCGATCATTCCATTCAGTCTTTTTCATTCTTCATTGCAGTTTTGTGATTTCCATTTTGTTTGTCAAATGATTGATTGAATTAGAATCATCATCATGATCATGATCACATAGAGTACTTGGTTTCTTTTCTGTTCTCAATCCATTTGAATCAATTAAAAAAGCTCACTTGTTCACGCGTATAGAGTATACCACCAGCAAAAAGAATAGATTTATGATGTAGAATTGAGAACATTCTTTTCTTAATATTTCTTTTAGCACTGAAAGATAATATTTGTGATGACTACATACATGCTTGGATGATTGGAAAAGACTTCTTTTGAAATGTTGGTCTTGGTTGAGGTATGTGTGTGATTGTTTGACAGATCGTCGCAAGATTATGTCCCTGGTTAAAGTCTTGTGGATGGTATGTATGATGAGAGTGAAGGAATTGAGGAAATTCAAAAATTACCTATGAAGTTAAGTGAGCTACAAATCTTGGGCTTTTGCTCTGTTTGAGTTCAACTTCAATTCACATTTTACATTTCATATTTGAGCTACTCATTTGATGAATGTAGGAGAAAAGAACACTGGCAGTTTCAGTCAAAAAATTGAAAGTTGAAGGAATTGTCTGGGTGCTTAGGATGGTCAAGGATACTTGCTAAGATCATACCCCAATGATGAACAGAACCACTATGAAAGCACAATGACAAACATATCACCTGACAAGATCATTGCCACCATCTCCCTTCATCTCTGATGTAAAAGTGAAAAGTATGAACATGTGACCCTTCGAGAAACTTTGTTGTAGCAGGGATCCAATTCAAATCATCCATATATGCACAACACAAGGTATTAAAGGGCCTCACATGAAGTCAACAAAGTTTGGTATTCTGCTTGTCTTTTAGGGTCACCAGCAGATGGTGTCTTTAACCAAGATATTGGTGAGTTTTTGCAAGATTAACTTGTTATTGAGTCACTCATATAGCATATGAATAAGATGAAATGTGATGTGTCACCTTTTTATGTAGCTCCAAGGTTTTCCCCTCAAAACCCAACAAGCAGACAATGGATTCAGAGTTGCTTATACAAAATTGATTTAGTGTTTACCCTCCAGAATTCAAGCAGCGCGTCATGGCTAAATGTGTTCAAGCTTCCATGTTGGGTCATTGAATGGGGGATTTTATTATGTCATGGCTTTAAGACTTGGTGTTGGCTCGCAACTCTTGTACACACATATACGTACACAATCCTATTGACACATTAAGCAACAAATTAAAGCTTTCAAGATATGAACAAACCGAGAGTTATTTGACACAAAATATGAAAGTAGATAACCAAAAGACCAAAAATGATGCGCGCATCTGTTCATTAGAATTCATTGTCATAAGTTTTACATTCTGTAAATTTTCATCTTCATACCTCGCTGAATAAATGTAATTGGTCATCGAAGAACAGTAGCTTTGGGGTTAAGGAGAGGCTTGAACAAATAGATTGGCATAGCTTCAAGAGATGACTCAGAGTACTAATGAGTGGGAGAAGTCCGAATTTCATTTTTTCCAATACTAGCAGGGATGGACAACGCACCGGAAAGATGGCCACAAATCAGTTTCAATGGCAGAGCAAGATATCTTGAGCTTTGCTGAAGAAGAATCGTCTTACCTGACTTTCCGACCCCCAATTATGCAGGGTAGCGAAACCACCGAGTGGATGCATGTATCCTGTTCCAGCTTCTGCTTTTGCCGCCTTCTCGTTCATTGTCATCTTATCAGATGAATGGGTACCTTGAGTTCCATCTAACCGAGCTTCTGCATCGTCCCGAACTTGCCTACGCACAAATGACTCCAAAACTCGACCCCCAGCCGCACTAGCAGCGGTCGAGGTTGCTGCTGAGATACCGGCTAGTCGTCGCAAGATACGGCGTTGAAGGTTGGGTCGAGCTTGTAAGTAAGCCGGATCTGGTACAGTTGTTTCTCCGCCTAGTGCGTTGTCTTTCTCATCAGAATTAAACATAGGATGATGACCCCCTCCTTCAAGCGCAGCCGGTGAGAGCTCAGATTTTTCATGACCGAACTTGACCCAAGGTGTTATGGAATGCTTTGAGCTTCCAGAAGATGGAGGTGTCAAGCGCTCAGATCGGATGGTCGGGTTTGGTTTGCGAAGCAGTCTGAATTTTCGGATTAAGAGGTAAATGCCACATCCAATCACGACCAAGCAAGATGCGATGATCATGCAGACGTCTTTGGAGGCCAGGTTTCCATGAGCATGGCGATTGTTTGCCGGAGTAGAAGTTGACTCTTTGGTTGATCTGGATGGAGACTCGTCAACTTTTCTGCCGGGTGAAGAGGTCGAGGAAGCGGGAGGCACCACCGCGTTTTTGATCGGCGCTTGGGGTTGAGTACTGAGTGCCTTCTCTCGATTCCCTGCAACAACGGATTTTTGGGCTGCAAAAATAAGTCAGCGAGTATTTCGATGAGGGGTGTCAGATGGGTGTGCGTCGAATTTGCAAGCTTACCAGACTTTTCAGGTTTTCCGGGAGTGTTTGGACTGGACCGTACCGCTGTGACAGGGTCCGCTTTCAACTTGAATTCCTCTCCGGTAGTGCTGTCCTGGCCTTGTGTCCTATTGGGTATGGTATCCTTAGAAGTCGTGCGGACTGGTGAATTCGTCCCTTTAACTGTTGAAACGATAGGGGTGGTTGCGCCACTGCTCGCATGGGAGATGTGACTGTCGGACGAGTTGGCTGTAGTTAAATCGACGGGACGTGTGATTGGTGTTGATGGTGATTTTAAGTGAATGTCAGCGAAAGGCGAACCTCTGGCGATGAGACGGTGTGATATAGGTGATGAGTTGTGAACTGTTTGCTCAGTTCCTCCAGCGTCTATGCCTAACCAGAGTGACTCTTCCTCCTCGCCTAGTTTGTTTGACTGGGATGCCTTGTTTTTGATTGAGGGATTGACGATAGTTTGTAACAACGCATTTGTCATTGAGTGAGGTACGATGTGAGAGTGCTGTGCCACATATCCATTAATCTCGTATATTGACCAGAAGAACGAGACACATGTGCAGCACGTCCATAGAAGACAGTGCCATGCCATCAACTGAACATAGACTTGTAGCGATTTGATAGTGTGGAGCTGCACAGGCAAGTGTCCGGCCAGCCAAACGTTGCTGACACCTTTCCTTGCTTTGAAACAAAAGGCCAATCGCCTTCAAAAGATGGTGTAACCTTGAAGGCAGAAACAAATAGAACAGGTGCTTGAAGATGCGCTGCTCTGTATCACTATCAACTTTATTTGCGCCAAACTAGAAGCCGAATGAGTAAGGGCATGTCAATGTAACGTAAAAGGGAAAAGGATGATATTGATATTGATGAGCGACTGTCAAGCCCCTCCGTGTGTATATTTGAACCTCAAATCGTGAAATCAAGGAGGAGCAAGAAGTCGATGTGACCGACTATGAATGAATCAGGAGGTTGGATAATCACATAAATTGAATTACTCATCTCTTGTCGGCTCGAGGAAACGGAAATGTGGCAACAATTTATCTGGTCGAGATTTCATTGTTTTCAAAAGAGTGGTGTGCTGATCTCGAGATCGGTAGCACACAATGATTATACGAGACATCCCTCGGAATCAGCCAGGAAGACTGTTGTAACGAGGTGTCAACAGAATCAGTGGCCGTCGTTGAACGACCGAGACTCGATAGCTGAGAAGTTTATGTCTATGCAGACGCCGATCACAAGGTGAGGCTTAAGAGATGGCAACGCGCATTATTGTCGATTAGTAAAGATACAATCTGAACGACACTTTTGACGACGAAAGGTGATATCAATCAATCCCCTCATCCTCAATCCAATCCTGTGTTGGATAACATTCGGAAAAAAGAGCTTCAAGTTCCTGTGCATCAATGTTTGAAATGATCTCAAATACGGCGTTGAATGGCTCACCTCGTTCAATTTAAAAACCTACAGCGGTTGCAAAGCTTTATACCCATCACCGTGACGTCTAGAGCAAACTCATCGTATCCAATTGTCCTGCAGATGGTTTCGATGCAAACAACGAACCCAAATGAATGCTGTTCACAAGCAGAAAAGTTTCATACATTCGTAATGTTTTTTGGTAAAAGCACCTCGTCTGCCTACCACCAACGCTCAGGAGATGACTTCTCCAATTCAGGCTGAATTTGTAGATTGGCCCATCTCTGGCCTTTTATACATCTATGATTTATTTCTAAAGCTCAGCTGACACAGTAAACACCTTCAGTTTTTCCATACATTTTTGCTACATGATCATCTTGGTGCCCCAACGCACGAGGAACTTTGTGGACTTGCGAGTGCATTTGTTGCATTCCATCAAGCACTTCAGTAAACTTCTCCTGTGATATGGCAACAAGAAAAAATTGCAAGATATGAGAACTATATGCGGCCTGTTAATGCCATCCTTTGCATCCTCCTGTCACCTCATATTCAGGACACAAGAGGCGTTGAGCGAAGGGTTTGTCTTCACCTATATAAACACATATGTACTAGTCATGGGTTGATGTAGGTTGATGTCCCAGCACTGGCTAAACACATAAATACAGGCTGTACATAGTCGCATTTTAAAATATTTATGTTTGAGGCTATTGCTTGATACACGGCCGAGTTGTGGTTCTGAAGCGCTCCCCTATAAAAGTTTTCCTACATGCCTCGCTGGGACCAACCATATGCCAACCTCGACCCTCAATTCCGTACGAATAACATGCCACCTCAATGATATCATCATCAGATCTCAAACATTGTTCCGTCATCTTTGAGCTTCCCACTGCCCGCCGATGCGTTGATCGGTATTCTCTCTATCCTATCAGAGGTGGCCTGCGCAAGCTTCATCTCCGCCGTCTCTTTGATCTACTTCATCTTTGCCTCCTTCGTCACGATTACGATCGCGCCAATCGCATTTGGCGAGTTCTGATTCGTTGTCGCGAGCTCGACTTTGGTCAGCTGTGGCATCTGGGTCTTCGTATCCTCTTCTCATCATCGAGACAAGTAGATACAGATGAAGATGATCGAACCTCAAAGCTAGAAAGTAGTCTCAAGTATCTCAAGGCGTGTCAAAGCATTGACCCTCAGGAGGTTAGCACTTCTCGTTCTATCCCTTGCTAACAAACCCAAAATCTCAACCATGTCTCTTTTCCTTCTACAAACGCACCCACAGTGTTCCAACATCCTGATTGAATATATCTGCACGTTGATCGTTTTGCGCCGTCATCGCCACGCACTTGACGAGTTAGAGCTGTACTTGTCCCTTCCGCCTTACTCTCAGCATGCTGGCTTACACGAGTACGCGGGCATGCTTGCTCTCTATCTTGCTCAGCCGCTTGCATCTGACGATGAGATGAACGACCTGCAAGTCGTCAATATACCAAGTATGCCACAAGTTTTTTTCTGTCGACTACTCGTCTTTTCTCTCACTTTCACTCTTGAATACCAGCATATATGGCTACCATTTCCACGTCTGCGTATTTTGGACGCGCTCGAGCCTATTTTGACCGTGCTCATGGACTTGATCCCACCAGCCCGGTAGCCAACAACTATCTTGAACTTGTTAGTGCTCATCGTACTCGTCTTTATGAGGCGCAGAATTTCAGCTTGACTCTTCGTTCTTGGCTTGATTTCACCTTTTTTCATCAAGATGACATCTGCACAAGCATCTCATGACGATGATCATGACAAGGATTGAGCAATGGACCCATTCGAAGCCCCTCCTCGAATTCCCGGCCGTCCTCTCCGTTCTTGCTTTGTCAACTCTCCTGTTGTGAAGTTCGGCTTTGCAGGGTTAACAGCGGATTGAGGGCATATGCCATTGCGTCAGGATGGGGTCAAAATGTACGGCCCAGATCAAGGTTTTCTCCGTCCCTCGATTAAGGTCGCGCTTGGCTTCAATTCCTCTAGAGTCATTCGCATCTACCCACGGTGGTCACAACTTTTTATCCTCTCTGGCTGTGTATTATAATATGTATGTCTTTGATGCAAATATGATTTTCACCTATATTCCCAACCTCGAGTCCCATTCACATTCCTCCCCAATCCCCGTTGCCCTTCTCCTGCCCACTTCTTTGATGAGACTGTGGCACCCTTTGGGGCAACTTTGCACCCACAGCCTCGTCACTCAGTGGGCAAATATCAAAGTTTTTAATGTCCTCTTTTTCGCTATCGCCCGTATTGGTCCTCATGGATGATGATCGGTGATTGATAGTAGAGGATCGACATTTTGCCTGTTTGTATCTCTCGATGCTGTACCTAAATGAATGAGTAATAAAAAATTGCGTTTATCATCACTAAAAAATTGAGCGATTGAACCTCCGTCAAAATATTGTACGTGTCCGACGACCATTAGCCACAGCTCAAATGCGCCAGTAGCTGTTCTTTCCTTGCGCTGGAGTTCTGAACCCGAAGCCTGCGTATACTCTGAATGTGGGCTTCCTGGGGTGAGATGTCATGAGATTTAGAAGGGAAAAATTGGACTTGGAAAAAATGGACTTGGAAAAAAAGTGCGATCACAAAGTTTTCTGAATTTCCTCTTGAGCCGTCAAAGTGCTGCTTCCTACTGGCAAGACCCTTTTTTCATATTGTCCATATGCTACAGCCGTTCCAAGAATTATCGGCAGATTTTGGGCAAAACCCTGTAAGTTTGGCAAAAACCCAAACGGACAAAACTCAAAATAAAACTAGATTTTGACCAAAAACTAGTTTCTCAGGCGCCTGAATCTCTCTGTTTCCACCATACCACATGTTCACGATTGTCCAAGCCCGCTTCAATGGCACCTGTCAAAGATTCACACGGTTCTCACAATTGGATTCTCACGCTTCATCATCTGTCTTGTTTGTACTGGTATTCAACACATGTTCGTGGCTCCAGGGCTTGAGCCTCCACTCCTCCCTACTCCTCATCATCAGGACCAGGTATGATCTCAATATCCGTGTTTCCTGGACTTACCACTCGACTTCTTCTTTCAAGCAGACGGATTGTTCCCAACTTCAGACCATCAGATCAGCACGTCCTCATCATTGAAAGGTACGTTTTTCATGACTTTGGCACTTTTGTTTTTGAATGTATTGAGCCAAAGCTCACATCAATTTGATATTGTTATTAACTTTTCACTTCCCATGCCGATGTTTCTTTGCAAGAAGGGCCCTTGGATTTTGTTAATACAGTCAACTCCCTCTAATTACATACAGTTTGGCGGGTGTTTTTTTCATGCACTTAAAGGAATATGCACTTATAGACCTCATTTTGGCTGGCAAACCCCTTTTTGGCGGCAAAAAATCCTATGCACATAGAGAATTATGCACTTACAGGGAGATCAACTTAGAGGGAGTTGACTGTATACAGTCTAGATACGCCGGTTCCTCTTCCGATAAGCCCACGAAGTGCAACTTCCGACATTTCTTTCCAAGACTACTCCCATTTATTCTGTGATCGAAGATTCCTTTAGAAGAACTCCATTTGTCTAGTCAACAGTGAGTCGTCACTTTCATTCGTACCAAAGATTCATTTCAAAGAAGACCCCAAATTCCTTGATACTGACATTTATTGAGTGTTTGAAGATTCCATTTGAAAAACTCCATTCGTCTAGTCAAAGTGAGTCGTCACTTTCTTTCGTACTAACCAAAGATTCGTTTCAAAGAAGACCCCAAATTCCTTGATCCTGACATTTATTGAATTTTCGAAGATTCCATTTGAAAAACTCCATTTGTCTAGTCAAAGTGAGTCGTCACTTTCAATCATACCAAAGAACCATTTCAAGAAGACCCCAAATCATTCGATTCATTCTTTTTGCGCGGATACAAACTTTGGTCAACTACGCAAGAAGAACCTCGTTTTCTTTCTGGCCGGCCAATCTTGGGATCCAACGCCTATAAAACCTCACTGGTGTTCCAACAGAGCATCACTTTTTTCTTCATCAGCTTATTGATAACCGCTTCCATCTTGAATACTTTTCACTCAAAATCTCCCCCAAGATTTATTGACTGCTCCAGCAATCATTTTTTGAGACCTTAGATATCAGTCTGTCCCCTTGTTTATTTCATATTTCATATGTATATGGCGGCTTTTTTCTTTTGGATAACTGATATTATAATTCTTTTTTTTATTCTTGTTTTTCAATATATAGAACCACCATGTCCAACTCCAACTTGTTGATTTCAAACTTGTCTGCTGTGTCCTCGCAAAATGAGGCCAATATCGTAGCGTCCGTGGTTACCGAGGAGACTGCTCCACGTCCAAGCGTGAATGATGCCTTGGGTGAAGAACGTAGGTGACCATTTTGCTGATCTTGCTGATTCGGATAACCAACTGATTGATTAATTTTGGCCTTCAGCACTTGAAGCCTCTGCCACTATCACCACCGGTGATGATGCCGCCGCAACTGGTTGGATGAACGCTTGTAAGTTTTTTTCCACATATCAAATGTTATCATAGCACTGACTATCATTTGAGTTTCAGTCTTTGAGCCACCCACCCCTCATCTCATGGGTGCGGATGCCCCTGCCCATCTTGTTGATATGGGACCATTGCATCGTCCTGGGACCTCTGAGCGTGATCAATTTAATTGCGCTCACGAGGTTGTTGTTCAAGTGTTGTTTAAGATACACACTGAGAACGAGGTCGTGCTCACCAACCCAGACAATTCCACCAACTCGACTTCGACCAAACCATCTACTGGCCGCCGCTCAGTTGGAACTACGATCAACGTCATTGATTCTAAGGTCTTCAACGAGGGTGCCATTCATGAGTTACGAGCTTGCCTGGTTGGTGTCTCCTTGAATCAATTCAAGGTGATGTGCGCCGAGTTGTGCGAGCGCTATGCGCCCGGTATGCATCAAATGGTCCTCCATTCGGACGTGGCATCCAATCTCACTTGGAAGGCCTCCGTTGGCCGAACTTCTCCGGCCTTTGTGCTGGGTGACCCGCTCCAGTTTTTCAACTTTGTCAACGGTGTCACCAAGTCGCGAACTCGCCGGGCATCCCTTTTAATTCATACCGAAAGCTCCAAGGTGGCTGCCAAGAAGAAGGCCCAGGTAAGTTTTTTGGACTTGTTTCGTTTCTATCCAACTTCTTGATGCAAGTTTTTTTCTGGTTTTTTAACGTTGTTTTTTTATCTTTATTTGTATGTTTCTACTCGCTCCACTTAGGCCTCTGCTGCAAAACAGCTGATCGCATCTGCCAACGGCCCTTTGGCTTTGGAACTTGACCTTGCCAAATCTAACGAGCGTTTGCAAGTATGTAGCTTTTCCTGACTTTCATGCGAGCCGTTACAAACTGACTCTGATTTGGAATCCGACTTGCAGGCCTCTGAAAAACTAGTGGCTTTGCACAAGTTGACAGCTGAATTGTTCCACATGTACGCTGAATCGGGCAACGCCGGCGGCGATGGAGTGGTTATGGTAGCTCCATGGGATCCTAACTTTCACTATTGCTTCACCCTGGCTTGTGCCTTTATTTGGGCCCAAGCAATCGTAAGTCTTTTAATAGTTTATTTCTAATGTTATCATTCTAAAACGTATGCTACCTTTGCATGAAACCAGGAGCGTTCTGAGGCGAACAAACACATGCCTCCCAATTCCAGCGAGTTCAAATCCGAAATAGCAAAAACCCGAGTCTTACATCCGGGTTTAAAGTTGAAAGACCGGTTGAAACTGTGTTTTCCATCTCTTAAGATACATCGTGTTACTAATGTTGGCGCTTCTAAAAAGCGCCAGGTTGAAATGTCACCTACTAAGAAACAGGGTAAATACCGGACTTTGGGTTATGGCTTGGTTTCCCCCTCCTCGCGTGCAACCGCAAGCAATAAGAAGACTGGTAAGCATTACAACTGTTGTTTGATTGTGTTTTCCAATTGATGTTTTCGATTTTTCTCATGTTTGGCCTTTCTTTTCCGTCCATCAGAAAAATTGAATAACATCGATTTAATTTCTTCGTCCGATGAAGAAGACCTCAAACCATTGAAATTGAAAACTGGTAAGCTCGTGTTTTTTGACCTCCAAATGTTGCAACTAGTTTTGACGTTTCCAATTATTATTCAGAAGGCGTCAAAATAGGATCTCCTTCCATCCGACGCTATAAGCGAAATGAGCTTTCGGGAAAAGCTTCGTCCACCAAGAAGGCTAAGGTTGAGCCAGGTAAGACGTGTTGCAACTTTTCGTGAAAAGACTTACCGGAAAAACTAATCCAGTATTGCGTCTTTTTAATGAGCAGAATTCAAGACCGAGCTCAATTCAGGTGAGTGCTTGTCATGAATGTAATCCATTCATTATCTTGCTGATGTCTGATGTCTGCGTTTGATATCAGACGGCTTTTTGCCACCCCCTGATCGATTCTATTATCTAGAAGAAGACAAGGCTGTCTACTCCGATGCCGTTATGTCTGCTGCCGATAACGATGAGCTCGAGCTCCTCATGGAGCACATGAGGAGCTCGAGCTCCTCCTTGATCAGTTTGTGAAGGAGTGTGGTGTCACCAAGAACTTCAACCACACGCGCAACATCTTGCTCAACTTGGGGATCAAGTCATGGATTGACCTTGTGCCCAGTGTAAAGATGACTGAGGCGGTTTTGATAGAGTATGGTATTCCTCGCGAGCTTGCTACCCGTATGTTTGTTAAGATACTATCTTGATTATGTAGTCAAAGATACATTTTCCCTATTTTGGTAATTGAGGAGGTTTAGAAGAATGCAGTGACTGATGTGCAGTGGGTACGAGTAGTGTGTTTGTTAGTGGGTATTACTGAGATGAATAAAGGGGTAAATTATGGAAGTTGGAATCAAAGGGGTGATGGAATTATTTGGGGGTTAACTGGACTCTTTTGTAATTTCTCTTTGTCTCTTTTTCTGATTCTTTTCGTGTCGAAAAGAATCAGTGAGTCTTTCCTCAATTTCATTATACATCACTTTTAAGACTATGTGTCCTTACTAATCTCATTGCTGCCATTGTAGAAACTGTTTATTTTATCTTCTATTAACCTTTACGCGCGCTCTCTCATTTCCTGACGAGCACGCAGGTAGAGACTCTTTTATAACTTATCAAAATCTCTTTTCTGATAGTTCTCTTTATCTCACACTATATCCTTTTTATGTTGTTAGGTTTGTCTGTTCTTGTTCTCGAAGTCTGACTAGCGAAAACGATGAATAAAGGGGTAAATTATGGAAGTGGAAATCAAAGGGGTGATGGAATTATTTGGGGGTAACTGGTCTCTTTTGTAATTTCTCTTTGTCTCTTTTTCTGATTCTTTTCGTGTCGAAAAGAATCAGTGAGTCTTTCCTCAATTTCATTATACATCACTTTTAAGACTATGTGTCCTTACTAATCTCATTGCTGCCATTGTAGAAACTGTTTATTTTATCTTCTATTAACCTTTACGCGCGCTCTCTCATTTCCTGACGAGCACGCAGGTAGAGACTCTTTTATAACTTATCAAAATCTCTTTTCTGATAGTTCTCTTTATCTCACACTATATCCTTTTTATGTTGTTAGGTTTGTCTGTTCTTGTTCTCGAAGTCTGACTAGCGAAAACGCTGTAGTCTGATTTGGAACCTGTGCCCTCAGGTTAGTGTCGTGTCGAAAAGAATCAAAACTGTTTATTTTATCTTCTATTAACCTTTACGCGCGCTCTCTCATTTCCTGACGAGCACGCAGGTTTGTCTGTTCTTGTTCTCGAAGTCTGACTAGCGAAAACGCTGTAGTCTGATTTGGAACCTGTGCCCTCAGGTTTGTCTGTTCTTGTTCTCGAAGTCTGACTAGCGAAAACGCTGTAGTCTGATTTGGAACCTGTGCCCTCAGTGTTCTTTCTTTACTGTAGCGTTTTCAAGCAGAGACGTCAGCTCAAGATTCTTTTGGAATCTCGAGACCTTCAACTTCGAGAAACTTTATATGGTAGCAAGAGTGAATACGATCTCTTCGACCGATTGCTTGTATGAGTTCTAGTTCTGAAAACTTCGATATCTCAACTGTCGACGATTCTCAAGACAATAGCTCAACTGTTACCGGAGGCTCAAGCACCTCAAGTTCTGCCGATTCCTTTGGAACGGTTAAACAATCTTTGTCAGATCCTAAGTCTTTGGACGATCAACCTGGTCCATCTGATAACCCCGAGTCTTCGATACTCAATCTCAAAATGTCAGAAAATACTGATTCACGAGTTTTCGGTGACTCTATTCAAAAATACTCTCAGATTATGACAAATGCGCTTAGTAAATACAAAGTATCAGATGATCTAACTGATGAAAACTATACCGAGTGGAGTCAGTCGTTGATGGAGGTGTTCCGTTCTCTGGAGCTTCATCAATATGTCAAAACAAAAGATTTTCAAAAATCAACTCTCACTCCTGAAGAGCAAGAAAAGACGCGATTCAATCTTACCACCTACATCTTAAATCGCTTGGACTCAGTCAATAAAGTCAGAACTCGAAACCGACTGACTGATCCCGAAGATCCTTCCGAACTGATCTATGATCCATACTTGTGCTGGAATTTTCTTAAGGAATATCACAACCGCATCTCCGAAGATAAATTGGAAACTGTTACTCGCGCTCTGTACTCATGTCAAATCATCAAGACAGATTCTCTCTCATCCTTTGTGGATAAATTTGAAAACTTGATTTGTGAATTTTATCGCCTGAAGGGCGAATTGTCTGATGCGCAGTCGGCGCGAATGTTACTGGGCGCTATTCCCGCACTGTCAATTGAGACAAAGGAATACATTCACAACACTGTGGTTCCTTTGACTCGGGAAGGCGTAGCATTGTATCTTCGCAAGTACGAAGAAAGACATGGTTGGACTTGTGCGGCCATTCGCGAAGTCCATGCAGTCAATGTGGTATTGGTTCGCCCTGGAAAGAAGACGTCTGGTGAATGTACTCCGGATGAATGCTTTGGACCCCATCTAGCGAAAAACTGTTGGTCGAAACCTGAAAACGCAGACAAGCGACTTGCTTTCTTGGCCAAAATTCGCGGAAAATCAGGGGGTGGTAGTTCATCTTCGTCAGCTCCAACTTCTCAATCATCACCATCAGTCAGAGGTGTGAAGAAAGTCTTCGATTCAAGCGTGAATACTGCTTCGGCCAGCATGGCTTTTCTGTCGCTTAATGTTGAATTCATTGAAGACGACGTTTCCGAACTTGAAAATCCTGAAGCGACTGCATCGCCGTCCGAATTCGACGAAGATCCTGTCATTAGCGCGTCTGTTTCCGCCGCTCTCTCATCTTCAAGAGACTGGGCTCTACATGATACAGGTGCAACTCACCATATGTTCAAGGACATCAAGTTTTTTGATCAAACCTCTTTGACTAAGTTTGATGATGCAAGTAAACGCCTTAAGCTGGCTGGTGGCGATATTTCTTTAGCGGTTCACAGTCGTGGTATCACAAAACTCTTGGCAGGTGACGATTCTGTCTTCGAACTCAAAAACTGTCTGTACGTTCCGGAACTGTCAAGAAACCTCGTCGCCGGAGGATTACTGAAGAAGCAAGGAGTACGAGAAATTTTCCACGATAGCAAGAATTTCTCATTAGTTTTGAATGACTTAGCTATTTTCAATGGGTTCATTTCAGACAACAATCTCATGTTTATCTTACTCGAACCCGTGAGTGGATCACATTCGTCATCAATCTCATCTTCAGTCACTGAGATATCCTCATCACTTCAACACCGACGATTAGGGCATGTAAGCAATAAATACCTGAAACTAATGGCCAAACTCGATAGTGTGGAGGAATTTGAGTACTTGGAGGAAGATTTAAACTGTGAAATTTGTTCCTTATCTAAAAATACAAAACTTCCTCACAATAAAACCAGGCCTCGTGCCCGAACTTTCCTTGAAAATGTGCATGTGGATTTAAGTGGTATTATTCGAACCACTGGTGTGAACAATGAAAAATATTTTATTCTATTTTGTGATGACTACTCTGCATTCCGACACATCTATCCTCTAAATGATAAGACCAAAGAAGAAGTGTACGATGCTTTCATGGCCTACATAGCCGTTGCCGAAAGGCAGACAGGATGTTCTTTGAAACAATTCACACTTGATCGTGGTAGTGAATTTTTGAACAATCTACTTGGTCCTAAACTTAAGGAGCTTGGAGTTGTTCTTCATCTGACCTCAGGCTACGCTCCTGAGGAGAATGGGGTTTCCGAACGTGGTATGTGAATCGTAAATACCAGGGCACGTTCGTTAATGCTTGAATCTGCTATGCCAATTCGTTTTTGGTACTATGCTTGTAGTGCAGCTGTGTTCTTAACAAATCGTTGTGTCACTGCTGCTCTTGAAGGGGGTAAAACTCCATTCGAAATGTGGTATTTTCGGAAACCGTCGGTTAATCATATACGTGTTTTTGGATGCCAAGCGTTTGGTCTAATTCGAAAGGAACTTCGCGAATCAAAGTTTTCACCAGTCAGCTCTGAGGGTGTGTTGGTGGGATTTGAAAGTGACAATTTCAATTATCAAATCTTTGACCTGTCCTCTAGAAAGGTGTATATCACGCATCACGCAACTTTCAACAAAGATATTTTTCCATTCAAATCTCTACCGGCATCTTCTACAAGTGTTCCAGTTGAACAGGACAGACGCTCAGTCAAAGTACTCTTCTTTGACGATGAAGATGATGTCGTCAATGAGCCAGTCTCTTTAGCTCCAACTTTTAACGACAACTCTCATATTTCAGATCAGCCTGTTCCTTCTTCAATAATCAATCCGAGTGGGAAACAGGCAGAAGATGCACCTCGTCGTTCAAACCGAGCTTCAAAGAAGATTCACGATTCACTTAGTGGAATGTGTTCAGGTGCTGAATTTGAGGATGATTTTGTTACAGGATCTTTCTTTTCCTGTCTTCCTGTGGAGTGTAACATGGTGTCCATACATTCAACTCCTGATCCAAAGTCATACAAACGGGCAATGGCTTCATCTGAGGCTGATTTGTGGAAGGCCGCCTGCGACAAAGAGTTTAACTCTCTCAAGAAAAAGGAGGTCTGGGAGCTAGTCCTTAGACCTAAGGATCATAACGTAATCAGGGGTCTGTGGGTGTTCAGAAAGAAGCCGTTGGTGGATGGAAGCATCAAGTATAAAGCTCGATTTGTTGCAATGGGTAATACTCAGATACCGGGTCAAGATTACGGTGAAACTTTCGCACCAACCGGGAAACCAGGCTCTTTACGAATTCTGATAGCCATTGCCTCAATAAATGGTTGGGAGGTTCATCAAATGGACGCTGTGACCGCTTTCCTTAACGGTATTCTAGAAGAGGAATTGTATGTTGAAATACCTGAAGGGTATCGGACTGCGTCAACTGTAGGAAAAGTGTGGAGAATGAAGAGATCACTCTATGGATTTAAACAATCTCCGAAAATCTGGCAAGACAATGTTGAAGAGTTCCTCATTGAAATCGGTTTTTACCAGTGTGAAATTGATCACTGCATCTATATTCGCTCAGTTGGTAAATTATTCACTGCTGTTTATGTTCATGTCGACGACTTAGCCATTACAGGCAATGATATTTCAACATTCAAAACTCAAATTGCTGCTAAATGGGAAATGGAAGATTTGGGTATAGCTCATACTGTAGTTGGTATTCAAATTCAAAGAATTGATAATTTTACTTACTCAATGAGTCAACAACAATATGCGTTAACTGTTCTCAAAAGATTCAACATGACCGATTCAAAACCAGCAATTACACCGCTTTCTCCTAACGTCAAAATCTTAAAATCAACTGAAGAAGAAGCGGCCGAATTCGCCAAGACCAAACTTCCATACAGAAGTGTGGTTGGATCTTTGATGTACCTAGCTCAGTGTACGCGTCCTGACATGGCTCATGCTGTTGGTGTTCTTTCACAACATCTTGAAACTCCCAACAAGCTTCATTGGGATTCAGCCATGCATGTACTTCGATACTTATGTCATACTATCAACATTGGCATTGTGTACTCTGGAAATGCACCAAAAGTGGTTGCCGGTCAACGGAGTTTTCAATGTCCTGTTTCTCATTGTGATGCTGACTGGGCCGGAGACGTGAACACCCGAAGATCCACAACAGGTTATGTATTTGTGCTTGCCGGCGGTCCTATATCCTGGAGAAGTCGTCTTCAACCTACAGTGGCCTTGTCATCGACGGAAGCTGAGTACAGAGCTATTACTGAAGCTGGTCAAGAGCTGTTGTGGTTGAGAAACATGATGGAACGGTTTGGCTTTAGTGATCCTAATCCTACGGTGCTTCAAAGTGATAACTTGGGGGCAATTCATTTGACTTCTAAATCAATTTTTCATGCAAGAACTAAACACATTGAAATTCATTATCACTGGATTCGTGAGGTGGTCAAGAAAGGTGATCTGGTTTTAAAACATTGTCCAACTCACTTAATGGTGGCTGATCTCTTAACTAAACAACTTCCAAAGGAACAATTTTCAATTCTCAGAAAAGGTTTGGGTTTAAGGTTTTTGGGATAATGCTCTTTGAGGGGGTGTGTTAAGATACTATCTTGATTATGTAGTCAAAGATACATTTTCCCTATTTTGGTAATTGAGGAGGTTTAGAAGAATGCAGTGACTGATGTGCAGTGGGTACGAGTAGTGTGTTTGTTAGTGGGTATTACTGAGATGAATAAAGGGGTAAATTATGGAAGTTGGAATCAAAGGGGTGATGGAATTATTTGGGGGTTAACTGGTCTCTTTTGTAATTTCTCTTTGTCTCTTTTTCTGATTCTTTTCGTGTCGAAAAGAATCAGTGAGTCTTTCCTCAATTTCATTATACATCACTTTTAAGACTATGTGTCCTTACTAATCTCATTGCTGCCATTGTAGAAACTGTTTATTTTATCTTCTATTAACCTTTACGCGCGCTCTCTCATTTCCTGACGAGCACGCAGGTAGAGACTCTTTTATAACTTATCAAAATCTCTTTTCTGATAGTTCTCTTTATCTCACACTATATCCTTTTTATGTTGTTAGGTTTGTCTGTTCTTGTTCTCGAAGTCTGACTAGCGAAAACGCTGTAGTCTGATTTGGAACCTGTGCCCTCAGGTTAGTGTCGTGTCGAAAAGAATCAAAACTGTTTATTTTATCTTCTATTAACCTTTACGCGCGCTCTCTCATTTCCTGACAAGCACACAGGTTTGTCTGTTCTTGTTCTCGAAGTCTGACTAGCAAAAACGCTGTAGTCTGATTTGGAACCTGTGCCCTCAGGTTTGTCTGTTCTTGTTCTCGAAGTCTGACTAGCGAAAACGCTGTAGTCTGATTTGGAACCTGTGCCCTCAGTGTTCTTTCTTTACTGTAGCGTTTTCAAGCAGAGACGTCAGCTCAAGATTCTTTTGGAATCTCGAGACCTTCAACTTCGAGAAACTTTATAATGTTGCATAAGGCTGAGGAACGTAGCCTTGCGCAAAAGGCAGGTATGTTACACTTCCTGGTCTTCACCGTGTTTCCATTACCCTACTGACCATGATCTCTCTTTGTGTCTGTCCACACAGAAGTCAAAGAAGAGGCCAAATGAATCAAATCGTCGAGATAAGCCAAATTTCCAAGTATGTTGCAATTTTCCTTGTTGATCATCACTGTTTGGCTTTCATAGTACTGACATACCATCATCTTCCTCTCGTGTGTACACACAGCAATTGATCTTTTGGCTATTCGATTTCACTTGATGTTCCTCACTCAATTTTTGTCACCACTGTGATATGATATTCAATTCCCCATTTCCAATATCCCCCCTTCCCTTTGTGTCTTTCTTAGTGTTCTATTGATTTGCAGCTTGTAATTCATCAGCCCGTTTAACCTTGACCAAGCAAAGAATAAGTTGTATCCCATCCGCTAGAAATGAAATAGTACCACAAACGTATCCTGTCCTCACGTAGTGTTCAAACATCTTCTCGCGCCCAATTGAGAGATCTTGAGAACCATTGCATATGTGCCATCACATATA